TACTGCGCTGATATGCTCGACTTATAGTGCTAAGATTGTTCCTATATCTATATAAATATTTAACACAGAAATGCTATTTGAAATTTGCTCTATAAACTCGAATAAACAATCCATAGATATTAGATAGATCTATAAAGAGACTCCCTCTTAAGATTTCCCAATAAATTATTAAGCTGCCTTTTTGATCGAGTACTAGTACGGGTATTATACAGTCGATGACGCCGGCTTACTTACTTATTTTGTTAACTAAGAATACAGCCATCTCTATATATTCACTTCTTGCACTTTTCTTATGATTATATTGTGGTATCGAGTTCATATATATATTTTTCATTTTTTTTTGTATGGCAAAATTCTAGAAAATTTACGCCGTTTTGCTGAAAATGTTGACTAGATTCTTAGACTTGAAACTTTCTTATTTTTATTTTCAAGATTTTTAGAAGAGCAATAGATTTGTAATACGATATACATCTCTATAGCCAAGATTATATATAATTAAGATCGATAAAAAACCTTAGAGCATTCTTATTAAATTTATTATTATTATTATTATTAATTGTTCTCCTTTATTTCTGCCTACCAAATCGTAAGTTAGGATTGGGACGTCTAACTCTAATTGACTACTACTAAATATCAACCTAGGCATATCCCTTAACATTAACTTTCACTTGAGCCGAAAACGTGACAATTTAACTACCAGTTAAATATTTGACAAGCAGATTAACGTATGATTTGCCAGTTCATTAGTGCTAGGAATACGAAGCAAGAATTCAATCGATAAATGAGTCACAAATCAGTTATATTATTTTTTTTTCATCAATTCAAAAATCGTTAAACAATTATTTAAAGCACTCGCTGCGTTTGGCTTATTTCAGCGTCGATCCATCCACAGGCAATGGGCCACACTCTCTGCTACCTACTATTTTTTGGGCCAAGCATACATAAATATTATCGTATAATTCGCTAGACAAGGAGGGGGTGGGTGGGCGGTGGGCGGTGGGCTGTGTGACGCATTGAAGCGAACGCATATCTATCATTAATATCGCTGCAGTCAGCTGCTGTTGTGCTACGAAAAAGGCTGCTGCAAAAAATATACACTTCACACACACACACACACTTGCACAGGAGTATGTATGCGCCATGAATGCCAATACACACACACACGCACGCTGGCATTGTGTGGCCTCCTCTCTAGCTCAGCGCTCGCTGAGGCTTACTGCTGCAGCAGCAGCAGCAGCAACGCCACTGACTGCTGAACTACTGCCAACTGCAATTAATCATTTTTCTATCATTTTCAGATTTTTTATACATACAAACAGCCGGTGCCACTGCAACTCTCTCTCCCCATGTATGTGTGTGTGTTGTGCATAAGTATGTGCAAATGCATGTGTGCATGTATTGCTATGTATGTGCATGTGACTGGTAAGTTATGATTTTTTCTCAATTGCCGTTTTTTCATTTTTATACCCTAAGCCTATGTGCCGAACGGGGCATATGCGACTATGAACACAACTATATGCGACTCAGCAATAACTGAAGATCAAGCCATAAGGCAATTTAGTTTTATATATATTCGAAGTCATCTTTAGACTTGCCAGCTTTGCCAGTCCAAACATTTCAGTTCTTTTTGTCATGAAATTGAATGGAATCTTGAGCAATTAGTAGATCAATAAATGAACTGCCTAAAACACAGGCATATTCACAAGTGAGCATGTATGTGTGTATGTATATATGTATGCATGCATGTATGAGGTGTGCTCCAAAGGTAAACCGAATTTGGAATTTCCGCAGTTTTTAGACTGTACTTAAATGTGAGCTTATTCAATAGGAATATTCTTCTATCATATAAATATGACTTTTCCTAAAAATATCTTTGCTCTGTTGCCAAGATCTCAGCGAACACAAAAGTTTTTCCTCTAGTCGATCGACCTATGCGCTCTTGTAGTTCACTTGAAGCTGGAGACGTCAACATTATAGAGTGGAGAGTTAAGAGAGCCGAATCAGATTGCCCTGAAAAGCACGTTCATGCTTTACTTATGGCTACAAGTTCTTAATTTTAGCTCGAGTACCTCTAATCACACATCGTTTTTTAACCAACAAGAAAAGACTAAAGCCTCAGTATAAACATTCACTTGTGACTTTTTCTTGCTTTCGAAACTAAAGAGAAAGAGATAAAGACGACATTGAACAAGATCAAAAAGGTGAATCTTTAAAGTGCTTCGAGGTTCTGATGGAGTTCGTGGACATTCATGATATTAATTGTGGGCTTTTCAAAGTGCGCGCTACTTTTTAAGCACACCTCGCACATGCATGCATGTGCACTTTAAATGACATCCAGGCAAAACGATTTCTAATGGCGTCTTCACTTAGATTAGGTCAATTGGTATATGCTGTGAGCACTCCACTCGATGCGACTTTGGCCTACCAAAAAAAAAAGCCAAACGAAAAAAATCATGCATTTTACATACGTACATGCACATATATGTATGTACAGATATCTGGTCGAAAAGCCAAAGACGACAACTTTTCGATGGCCATTGATGGTGATACGTCCGGCGCTGAGCTTTGTGGTGGCTGCAAAGGGAACTGAATGAATGCGCAAATTTCCAGGTGCGGTTGTGGGCAAAACGCCGGAGCAAAACCGCCCAAACCGCCCACTAACGGGGCTTCAGCCAAACTGCTAACAAGCTGGCGTCGAGCAACGTTGACAGCGCCATGGCTCGGTCCGGTTAGGTTTAAGTGTTTTATGAACTTGTTTCAATGAAGTCATACAAAGTGCGTGTGCCATAATATATATATATATATATATGTTATATATATATATATATATATATATATATATATATATATATATATATATATATATGTGTGTGTGTGTGTGTGTGTGTGTGTGCAGGTGACATGTGGCAACAGAAGCAATGTCTACGCTTCAGCTGTCCTGCTGTCGTGCTCTAACTCAACTCGTCGTCTGTGTCTGGGGCATTGAAGCTTTTAATTTGATTTTCGTTCAAGTGCGGTTTTCCAACCAATCCATACTCGGCTCTCTCGCTCACTGTACAGGTGTCCATATCTGTGTGCTTGTGTGTGTTAGCTCGAAACTCAATTCGGCTTTGTCGGTTGCATTGAACTTGAGCTGCTGCTGCTGCTGCTGCCTCTGACCAGCCGCATGTTGCGCTCTAATGAGCAACACACATCTTAATTACGGCCAGTGCAAAAGTTCGACAAGAAACACGTTTGATAGAGAGGCAACTGCATATGATCTTAAGCTAGGAGCTCGCTGAGCACTTGACAATCGCTTTGCGTCGCCTTTCTATGCGATTTTCATTGCTTAAAATACAAAAATCCCTATTCCCAGCAAAGCAAAAACCTTAGTTCAAATACTGTAAATAATCAATCTAATCAGATCCCTAGGCTGGAGAGTCGATATTTTAGTGATAAGAAAAGATTTTATAATAAATTTAGAAACGTTTGTGGAGCTTAAGCACGCGAAAAGGATATCATCATAATCACAAGTCATAATCGATACTTCTTTGATACTTCTTATATAATTTCAGCGCATTTCGTTGAACTGTATAATCAAGGAGCGCTCAGGACTTGAGTTCGTCTTTGCCCAATTTTCTTTTACTGCTTACTTCCTACTTAAGACGAGTGCCTCTCTATGCGATTTTCATTCAAGTGCTTTAGTAGTTGTATTTACTCATATTTTTATATATATAAGGAAATTATATAATGAATTATTTGCTGAACTTAAAATATGTGTCAAATCCTTGCGATTGCAATTTTCATTAATTGAATTGAATTATATAAAATTTGTTGTGCAATTTGGTTTTATCAACACGACAAATATGCAAATCAGCCAGGTGTGAAAGTGGATAAACATGGCCGGAAAAAACAGTGAAGTGTGTAACAGCGGAATTGCATGACTAGCAGATACCCCATAGCCAGCAGGTCAAACAAAAGCTCGTAGATATTAAGAAGACACATGACTAACAGATACCCTATAATCTATGCAGATTTATGTAAAGAAAATGCCATGAATTATTTCTGAATTAACATAATTAAATACCCTATAATAAGGAGAATCTTTCATCAAAAAAATGACAGTTTATTATTATTATTATTGATCTTAATTGATTTTTCGGATAAACAGAAAATGAATATTCTGCGAGTTTTCTGATCTTACGTGTATTCCGTGTCGATAGAATTCGATAATAAAAAATCTATAGAAATCGATCATAAATAATCGATAAAAATCGGTCGAAATCGATATACACTTCGTTTATTGAGCATATTCTAAGACTCCTCAAGCTCAAAATCTGTGATTTCTACAGACTTCAAGCCCAACTTGACCGTAGCCATGCAGACTGCTAGACAAAGCTTAATTATAATGAGATAACAAAAGCTTGCTACCAAATATAATACCCTATTCCAAGCAAAGTTCAATTGCTTTCAGGTAAAAATAAATATATAATACCATCAACTAGTAGAAGCCACAAGAGCCTCGCAGTTGTCGGTCGTTTGCAAAGGTGCTGAGCATGCGGCTGCTTCGCAAGGTGTTGGCCAACTGGACACGAAATGGACAGGTGCGGAGACGCACAAAAGGGCAGCCCGCATCGGTGGCTGGCTGGCGCAGCATACTGGCATTAAATACGGACGAATTTTGCCGCAACACGAGCATACACGGCCTCAAGTACATCAACAGTCGCAAGCTGCACACCGCGGACAGGTGAGGGCGTCAAAGCCGAACGAAGCAGAAGAAGACGAAGTAGGTAAGCAAAGAGATAGATAAAAGCAGATTTTTCTTTGGGTTCGCACTGCTGGCGGTGCTGGGCTGCGCTGGCTTTCTAATGCAAGACGCCTTTGTCAAGTGGAACACGACGCCCGTGATAGTGGGAATCAATCCGGAGCCGACATACATCACCAAGGAGCCCTTCCCAGCGCTCACCATATGCAATCTCAACCAGGCGCTGGCCGCCAAGGCCGCTCACCTGCTCAACGACTCCTCGCAGTTCGCCATGCTGCAAGTGCTGTGCCATCGCAAGCAGCGCACGCATCTAAGTCGCGGCCACAACAACTGGGAGCAGCTGATCAGCAATGTGTGTGCTGTTGCCTCTCACTTAGCCACTTTAGCCAATGCTTCTCGTTCACTCCAGATCTCACAGCAGTGCGGCGCCATGGTCATCGGCTGTCGCTTTGGTGCCGTCGACTACCATTGCGAACGCATGTTCCAGCCGATCATCACCGATGAGGGTCTCTGCTGTGTCTTCAACATGCTCCATCCACGCTTCATGTACAAGCACCAGTATGTTAAGTACTCAGACTTATGCACAAATCGATAGTTATCGAAACTGCTGTTCAGTTATCGGCTGACTTGAGCGACAGCAGCAAGAACTATATCAGCAGAAACTACCGAATCGAGCTACAGTAATACTTCCTACTGCTCCTACTTCTCTTACTCAATTCCAGCCCTTAGCTCAATATCACTTTCAATAAGTATCGATTTCCAGATAAGCTTTTTTCTAGCTAACGCAATAAGCTTGAGGAATATTTTGATCTACATTACATAGAAGCTAGAAACTTGCAATTTTAGTTACATTTTCATAAAATTTGCTGTAAAAACTTCTGCCAAAATCGATAATTATCGACAAAAGTGCAATAATATATAAGAGAAATCAATTTATATTTATTATATTATATAGAAACCCGATGCTGCTTGGCAAAGAAATAGTTGTTATCTATATACGAGAATATATATACAATTTTGTAGATCTAAGTGGATAAAAACTGATCAATTTGAGGTATAAAAAAAACCTTTAACTAGATTGAATATGAATGAGTAAAAAGTGTGTAAAATTTACTGTTAGATCAGAAGGTCTGGTATTATAATTCTCGAATAGGTTGAGGCCACTAAATATATGAAGGGTATAAAGGTATTTCAAATTGTATGTAGCAGGCAGAAGAAGGCGTGTCAGAGCCCATAAAGTATATATATTCTTGATCAGGACGACAATCTGTGTCGTTCTAGCCCTTTTCAACAGAGACACAGACAGAACTTAAGATAGCTCACTTATAGTAATCGATAGCTATAAGCGAGCTATCCACAATTTTCATCATCATTTTCATCATCCATAAATGTTCATAAATCACTTGAATTTTCTTGCAGTGTGCCGCTGACGCTGCGCAATGTGAGTGTATCGAAGGGCTACCGGGCAGTCAACTGGCATGCGGAGCTCGGTTACAGTCGCAGCTTGAAGAATGATTACTATCCACGCGCCTCGCTGGGCACTGGCGAATCGCTGGGCATGTCGCTGATGCTGAACGTTGAGGCTGATGCGTACTACTGTTCGTCCAGCAATAGCATTGGCTTCAAGATCGCCCTGCACAGTCCCAACGAGTCGCCGAATGTGCGCGAGACGGGCGTCTTGCTAGCACCGGGACTGGAGACGAAGCTGCGCATCGAGCCGGCGAAAATAATGACGGAACTGAGTCTGAGGCATGTGCATCGCAAGTACAGGCACTGCCTCTTCCAGAACGAGGGCAATCTCAGCTACTTTGCCCACTACACGCAGCGCAACTGCGAAATGGAGTGCATGTCGCGGCTGCTGTTGCAACGCTGCGGCTGCATTGCGTTCTATATGCCACGCATCAATGGCAACGACACCGTCTGCAGCATACGGGAGGCGCAGTGCGTGGAGAGCGTGCGGCTGCACACGATTGGCCTCGTGGTCGAGTCCTGCCTGGATAACTGTCTGCCCAGCTGCTTCGATCTCAACTACAATGCGATCACCTCTGCCACCAAAATCTCCTACAACGACTTTCGCATCGCCAACGCCCAGGTGCGCAACCTTAGCAAGGCCTACGTGGAGCGCAACATAGCCATCGTCAATTTGTACTACAAGGAGCACACGTTCCGTGCCAACAAACAGACCGAGTTCATCGGCATATCCGATTTTTTGTGTGCGTAAAGGCAGAGGCCCGAGGACAGTGCACGTTTCGGCTTGCCGCCTCTGAAATACCCTAGCAAATTGAGATTATTGATTATATATTATATATTATATATATATACATATATATATATATATATATATGTATATATACACGAAAGATATCCGCTCGTCATCCTTTCTATTCAAGCCCTAATTTCCCATCTTCTCATACAGACATTCCTGTTTCCTGACAAAATTCAAGGGGTATACAAAGGCGGAACAGCACAAATTCGAAAGGAGAAAAAAGTTTAAGCCACAATTGAAATTTGCACTGTTTCTTTTTTTCCTGCATTTACAGCCAACGTTGGCGGTTTAATGGGCCTGTTTCTGGGCTTCAGTTTTCTGTCGATAGCCGAATGCGTGTATTTTGCCCTCATTCGTCCGTGCCGCATTTGTGCACAGTTGCGCCGACAGCGCTCGGTATCGACCTTAGAGCTAGGCAGAGGCAGAGTGACACCGCCAGTTGTAGTTCCAATTAAAAGAACCAAAGCGCACGTAAGTGCGATGATGCCACAGCAGCAGTGGCAGCGACAGAGACAGCGGCAACAACGCATTTCACCAGCCAACTGGTTCAAAACGGAGCTTGGCCAGCAATACAGTTTGGCTTAAACGCACTTCAAATGTATGTAAGAAACTTCATATATTATAGATTTATATTTTACTTTATAATATATCCCAATATTTGGTAACTACATCAAATTGTGGTAGACCAAAATTTGTTGGCCTCTCGTGAGCCATCGTAAAATGTTTCGCTTCCTTCTTCACTTCATCGTCGAAAATCTAAAATGTCAAAGAGTTTAAAGTTAAACATATATACAAATACATATGTAAGTAAATTTGAATATTCAGGAACTGTACTAACATCGCATTCCTTCATTTCCAGCAACGACGATAGATCAAATTCAACTATGGGCAAACTCTTGGTGATAAATCTTGCTGCATTGGCTACATCGGGTACCGCGTGCTTCTGTAAGAGCAACAGCTCCCAGAGCGAGCTTTTCAGGGCGCCTGCTTTGACCGGATCCACTTCTGTTTCGTCATAAGGATCCGCAATCTCAATAGCTATAATTGCAATAAATTTATTTCAATTATAATCGAATTAACTTGTATTATATTTGGCATATGGCATACCGCTTGCCGCTCCCGTTGCACAAATGAGACGCTGCAAACCTGTGTGCCGCAGCAAGAGATTGCATATGAATCGTATCATTATAATGGCATCCTCCGTTGGACTCTTGAGGGCGAGTCTAGCCAAACGCTTAACGAACGCGGCCACCAGACTTTCCGGCAAATGCGTCGATGTCAGGAATATATCGGCCAAATAAAACAGGCGCGCTTTGTACTTATTGTAGAACATGCGTGGATAGAACATGTTATATAGCTTCTGATACACATCGGGATATGTTATATTTTGCTGTTGCATCAGTGTAAAGATGCCTTGCAATGCCAGCAGGGCAATGGGGCCATCTACAAAGATAGATTAACGAAATTGAATTATATGAAATTTTAACAGTCGCTCCTTAGCCTACCAAACTGATGCAGTGAATCCATAAGAAAGTCTGTTAGCAAAATGGGATTCTCCAAATGTGGAAGTATGCGTTCCAAGAGCACCACGAGAACCTGGCGATGCACCTTCTCGTCCAGCCCACTGCACGCTGCAATGATGCCATTCCAAGCAGTATTTAGAAGTTGTCGCGTTTGCTCGTAATCAAAGCTTGACTCGGGTCCAATATGATATTGTTTGGCGTTCAGCACAGTTTTCCCCAAGTCCAGCAAATTAATGATTGCCAAATAGTTAAACGCTATATTTGGCGTATCCACAAAACTATTTGGTGCCAACTCAGGCAATAGTTCATATGTCAACTGCAGCACGTCTAGGCAACAAGTATATTTCGCAAACTCCGCCAGAGCTGCGGTTGGCGTTGCCTCCGAGTTGATCAGCGCCTCAAGAATGCTGCGCAGCCGCTCAACAGGCCAGGCATTAGAGCTACTGTGCTTCGCTTCGGCTGCTATCAGCTGCATGCAAATCTTGATCGCAACGCCAGCTTCCTCCTTGGAGGTACTGCTCAAGTTAGTCAGCAATAAAGACCAAGCTTTGTTGTAGAGTATTTGACATTTTGCATTAGATTCCTTTGCCTGGGCCTTTGCTTTTGCCTTATTCTTTTTATTTTCGACAGCTAAAATGATTTTCCGCTTGAGCAGATTCCTGAAGATGACTTCAAGCACGTGCATAACGCCAACTGCATTGCTGTCAGGATTTTCCTGCAAAATTATCATATTACGCTTTTGTTTTTTACTTCTTTTCCATTTACTTACTAAGAGATAAACAATTTCCTTTAGATCTTTTGCGTTCACATTGCTGGAATTTAAGAAATCGTTGGCTTTTTGCTGTAGATCGGCTGGCACATTTGCACGTTTAACAGCCAGATCCGCAGTCTGTTTATTGACGGACTTCTTTGCCAAATTTGTTTGTTTCATGCTGCAGTATTTATCATTCGGTGTTATTTACAAAAAAATAATAATAATAATAATAAAACGTGCGCGCAGTTGAAATGCTGCCAACTTGTTAAACTACTTTATGAAAAGTTTGGCTATAATTAGTACATTTTTGGCGCTGCTTAGCACATGTGTGCGTATGTGTACATATGCTTAAACATACATGTTGAAAAGTTGTTTTGCCTATAATTGTGAATAATTAGCAATTAACCGACATGAATGTTAGTACAGACTTTAAACCTGTGCTGACCCGCGCCGCGCTTGCGTTGAAGAAAACGTCGGAGGACACTGGATTTAAGGCTCTGGTATTTCAAGAACCGCAAGCGACATTCACAACAAACAAACTAGAGAAACCAGCAACAGGCAATGGCAAAGGCAAAACAACAGACGGCGACAAGTCAAAAAAGGAGGATGACAATGAATTTGACATTAAAAAAGCACGACAGGAGGTGCTGAACTTTGCCATATCTAATCAACGAACGATCAAGAACAAACGAAAAATGGAAATATTTCAGCTGGTAAAACTTGGCGCCAAGCCGCCAAAAAAGGAATACAAAAACTACAAGGAACTCAAGGCGGAACGCAAACGCTTGCAAGATACTCGAGACGCGCGCAAAAAATTCCATCAATTGGGCAAAAATCAAACTGGCGCAGCGAGCGTGAAGTGCAACAAGAAAACGAAGGAAAAGCGGCGAGCGCCTGTTGCTAACATAGGCCAGCATTATGGCAAAGCGCAGCCTAAGTTAAAAAAACGAAATTAAAAAAAAAAACAAAGCTATATTAGTGTGTTTTCAATGATAGTGGGGAAATTCGGAATGTTGTAAACAAATAATCTGTATTAAATATATGTATGTGTGTTTACGTATGCATGTGTGCACCGTTAAGTGTTCGCTGATTATTGCAACTAAATGGCAACGCCACAAGCTTAGAGCTGCCAATCTTTTATAAATCATATGTTTTTGTTGTTTTTTTGGCACTTCATATTTGTCAGTTGTGCGATTACGTGAATTCTGTTGGAGGTATAACGTTTGTGTTTAGTTTGCCATCAAAATGAACGCAGCCCCACGCGCCGCCTTTAATCAACTACTACGCCGCGGCTACAGCCAAGCGACAAAGGGTACAGGTGCTTCAAAACCCACACCAAGCAGCGGCAGCAGAGTCGCCGCTACGCCTGGAGCAGCAGCTCCCGTTAAAAATGTAACAGGACTAAGTAGCGCCTGTGTAAAGCCAACATCGACACCAGTTGGCCCTGGAGCATCTGCAACTAGCGGCTACAAAGTTCCGGAATATTTCTGCTTCAATCGGTTCAGTTATGCTGAGGCTGAGGTCGAAATGGCTAAATACCGTTGCCCACAGCCATCAGCGTTGATTAAAAACTAAAATACTGTAATTATCGTGCAAACGCCATAAAAAATGTTATTAAATAAATACATATATAATAAATGATGATATGAAAATATACGCACAAGTTCAGAACAAAACAAGGCACATACCGACGTACATATATAAATGTATATACTTATATATACCTATTTATATATGTATATATAGAGAAATGCGTATGTATGCATAATAATATCAAAATGTATGGAAGTATGTATATATTGGGCATGTCCACCTGTTACACAAGGTTGGCAGCCCGACACATTTGAGCATCAGTTGGCAGTCCTGTTTTCTTCTTTTATTTTTGCACTCGCTCTCTCCTCTTTCACTTCTATTTCTCTTTATAATTTCATGGCGAGTGGCAGTGCTGTGGTGTTCTGGGTAATCGACATCGAAAATATTGAGCGCGGGAAGTGATATTATTACAGTTTTGCATCCAAATTGTCAAAGCAAAAAACAGAACCAAGTAAAATATATTTTTATTTAATTTGTGTTAAAAACTTTGTGCATCAAACCTCAACAAAAACGAATATAAAAACAAACTATAAGATTTGTTGCACGGCGCAAGCCACGGGGTAGCAGCTCTGTTTGTGCGTGTATGTGTGGTACAGTTGGGTAGAAAAACATTGCTGGCCTGGCAGCGCCGCACAAATTTATGAGCTCCAGAGCAAAAGCAAAGCAAACGAAAACGACCAAAAGATCTTTTCAAAACAAAACACAGTGGTATTATAAAATTTGGTGAATACTAATGCTTGCATAGACGTTACAAATATAGTAATTTTACTGCAAATAAATGCAAATAAAAATGTATGGCGTTGCCAATTTGCTGGTATTATTCACAAACAGGGACGTCTTGTCGAACGCAATCGAAAACGCAGTGCAGTGAAAGTGTGCGAAACAGAAATCACAGTCTCTTATGAAAAGAAAAACCGAAAAATGTAAAACCATTTAATGTAAGTGCGAGACGATTACAAATTGCAGCAACTTTAGATAAAATAATAATGTTTTATTTAAATGAAACAATATACATCTGTACACATATATGTGTGCATATATATCAATATATATTAATATTAGGTATATGTATGCGTATATACATACAACTGGCGCGCAAAAATCAACGTAGTTGCTAATAGAGCACCAAAAATGACAAAAAATGGGCGCCAGAGTTGTCGCACAATCAGAATAGTGAGGAGCACGTGATGTGCTATTTCAACACGAAATAAACACGAACTGATAAGCATATAATTTAATTAAACATGATTATTAGATTTAAATGTAATTTTAAAGGCATTCAAACGTACTTAGATTTATTTCGAATAAAAATTGTTTTTTTTTTTTTTATATTAATACAAAATATAATACATTATTAATATATTTGAATGCATTCACGAAGCGATGAGACGCTCATCTCTAATTAGGTCTGCCTGCCCGTGTTGCCACTATGTATTTCAAGTTTTGTTTTGTTTTTTTTTTTCTGGCATATTTGCGATTACAAATAGTTTACACGATTCTTAATCAATTGCAGTGACTTATGAAAAATGCGAGCTGGAAAAAAAACGGAAGCTGAGATAGGAAAGACTCGATCGTGCATAGTATACGTAAAAAATCTGAAGGAATCAGAAGCCACCGATAAAATCAACTCATCAACGACATCCGGTAAACAGACGAAAACAGTGCGCATCGCTGCTGCCGCCGCCGCCTCTAAAATACCAACAAGACGATCTATTAAGGAAAAAGAGCTGGAACAACTGGAACGAGAGACATCGCGAGCGACGCGCACCTCCAAACGAGCCACGACCATTACAAACATTGAGCTGCTTCCAATCAAGAACAAACCAATTGTGAGCACTCCGACTGCGGTAGCAACACGCACACGCAACAGCAAAGCCGACGAACCAACCACAGTGCCAAGGGCAGCAGCAAAGACGGCGAAACAACAGATCAAGGCAGTGGCAACACCATTGACCAAACGGCGCAACACAGCGCTAATATTACCCGTAGCTCGGCCGTGCACTCCGCTTAGCAAGCGGTGTGACACGATAGCGCAACAGCAGATCGTTAGCGAACCGAAAGCTAAAATGTACAAACAGTCAAAGATAGCCGCAACGGCAGTGGCAACGCCACCGCCAACGATTGCGGCGAGTCGTTCCCGTCGCTCCATCAAACCGAATCCAAAATACGCCAGTGACGATATGGTAACGCCAAAGTATGTGGCCGCACTCTCCAGCGATAATCCCAGCAAGCGATCGGTGAAGCATCTATTTGCCGATGACGATGACGACGAGGATGAGGATCTGCGCGATTTGATAGAGGAGGACAACGATGACGAGCTGACCGATGCGGCATTCAATCCGCAACTGCACAAATCCGATGATGATGATGACATAAGTGAGCGCGACTTCGAACAGCAGCTGCGGCGCGAAAAGGTGCCACCCAAACGTGGACGTGGACGTCCACCGAAATCCGCCAGTGCAGCGACAGCGTCAAGCAACAGTGCGTCCCAAGCCGGACGTGGCGGAGCCACGCACTTGCAGCAGCTGCGTCGCACAATGGCGCCAAATTTGGCGCGATCACATATTAAGGTAATGGCCTCTCCGGCGGTGGGCAACAAACGCAAGCTTGAGGACAGCAATGATACTCCAATAGCACGCAAGCGCATGACCACCGACTGGCCCGTCATTAATGGCAGCACATCGGTGGCCAAAACCTCTGCCATTACCCTGTCCACCAGTCAGGCCAAGCCAAAGGTCGTTGTGGGCAGCAGCAGCAATAGTGGCAACAGCAGCAGCGCCGGCGGCTTGCGCATGGTACAGTCAACAAGCGCCAAACCGCGGCCGGCGTCGACCTTCAAGATGGCAACGCCCACAGGAGGTGCGCGCAATGTTGGCACAGCTACAGTGGGTCGTACGGGCACAGTGGGCCGCCCGCCTGGATCGACCAATGCGCTCAAAGTGCAAAAGGCAGCAGCAGCAGCAGCGGCAGCTGCGAGTGCTGCGGCCACAGCTATGAAATCAGCAGAAACAGACGATGTGCCCACGTTCACAATCGTTAATATTGACGACATTATAAATCAGGATGATGTGCTCATTACACGCTCCTCTTCCAACAGCATCAGCAGCGGCGGCGGCAAGAAATTGTTGAGTGCCGCGAGGAACAACAATAATTCGCGCACAAATCAACCCACTTCCTCCCCCATAACACCGATCGGCAGCAGTAGGAATAGCGGCAGCACGCCAAGCGCTAATTCAACGGCAGTCTCAGCCAACAAAGGTCTCAAGACAACAACAGTGGGAGTGGGAATAAGAACAGGAGCGACTACAAAGCATCCATTGACGATTAATCATAATAAACAGACGTCGCTGGTCGTCTCTGTGGGTCAAACGAAGCCGCGACCGCGCATCCTAAATGCGGAAATGGGCAAGAAGACGCAGCCGATGATGAAGCCCCTGATGAGCATGGGCAAGGAGTTGTGTCCCATGACCGATGGCGATAACACCGAGGATGAGGATATATCCAATGATCTGGCAGACGATGACATCACCATATCCCCACCTGCAGCAGCAGCAGCAACAAATCAAACGCGCATAATGCGTCGTGTACAGACTACAAAATGGATGCCCAACCGACGACACGTCCTTTCGGCGACAGCGTCGACAAATGCCAGCAACAATCAAAGACATCATCAGCAACAGCAACAACAACAGCAGCAGCAGCAGCAACAACAACAACAGCAACAGCAACATCATCAGCAACTGGCCTCTGGTACAGATCGCAAGCTGACCAAGTTGCTGGGCGAAAACAGCGACGATGATGTATTTAAGAAGCCGGCCAGTCCATCGACATCAACGCCTTCGCAGCGTCGCTATAAGGAGAATACAGCGGATGAGGATGCAGCCATGACTGCAGCCGAACCAGAACCCGAGGCCAAACAGCCCAAATACTTTCCACCCGAGACAACCACATATTGTGAGGAAGACGGTAGAATCGTCAAGAAGATTACCTGCTATGAGACCTGGCATGTGATCAGCACGCCCAAAGAGCCATCGAGCAAGACACGCCAGCAACGCACCTGCCTCGAATTGCCGCTGGTAAAGCTGGCCAATGTGGCAGCACGCATCAAGTTCCCGTCCAGCAAATGGACGAGCAAGGTGACCCTCTACAAGCTGTCGCCATCGCTCATGCAGCGCCAGACGATGACCATATTTACCGGTGATCTAAAGAGCTACAATATACACGAAGAGGAACGCCACAAATATCAGCCATCGTGCGTGCTCTTCCGGCGCACCGTGCTCGATCGGAGCAAATGTCGAGTACCCTTCGATCGTGCCATCATCTTCAAGAACAAATGCTTCTATGCTAACATTGAGGGCAAGCATGTCAATCTGTTGGGTGCACCCGAGGTGGTTAACTCCGTCAAGGATGTAGAGATACTGATAGATATTGTAGACTCGCTGGCCCTATCCAGCGATCTCGTTGAAATGGTCACGTCCAAGTAGTAAGCAGCTTGGCTGGGTGGGTATGTAGGGATGTAATTGATGATGATTATAAGTACATACTCCAGTGTGTATGCAACAGCAAAGACATGCATACATACAGATACACACACATATATATACATATATATATACACAGATATATATATACATATATAAATATTCTATTTTTTTGGATTACCTATAATCTATTTTTTTTTATTCGATTTAAATTAGTTGTAATAGTTACTTTAGCGTAATAGTTACTTTAGCTGTTCGTTATATCTACATAAATGTAATAAAAAAAGAAAGAAAAAACTACAAAAAAATAAGGATTTCAAGGTAAACTTCACTAAGCCCAATTACGTGTCCAAAATCCCGTAAATCTATGTAGTAATATATATACATCTATATGTATATATATATATATATATATATATATATATATATATATATATATATATATATATATATATATAATATATACATATGGCTATTGCAAATCGTTTCAAAACTCTGGATGGGCATGCCGCTTGGACGAACGACTTTCAGTGTAAAATCTATAATTTTAACATAATTTTAAATAATAAAAAATATCTATATATATACATATATATAGGCGTAAAGATAAATTTGGAAAGAGAAACAATATCACTTTTTAATTTGCAAATAATAAAATTAAAGTTTAGTTGATTAATATTTTATGTAACAAAATAACCGTTTTACACCCAAATGGCCGGTGTAATAAATTAATAGTAATAATGATAATATAATATTAATTTTATTTCTATGTAAAGCGATGAGAATGTGTAATCAATAAAATATTTAATTTTTATTTCTATGTAAAGCGATGAAAGGTGTAATCAATAAAATGATTTAATTTTATTATGTTAAAAAAAATATTTGAATTATTTTCGTATAAATTAATTTCAATATATTTTTTTAAATGCTAAATTTGAAATTATATTTTTTGTGACAATTTTCTGATTAAACAAAATATTAAATATCCAAGAAAAGTGTTTTATTCTATTTCAATAAAATAAAATAAAATTCAAATTAATTTAATTTAGAACAATAAAAATCGAACAATTTAGGCCAGTGTGTACACACCTGTAATTTATTGAAAATTCATCGGATTCTCATTCGATCTTAATACAAAAGCATTACGCTAATAGGAATATAAATAGCTACTGCCACAGATAGATGCGGCTAAAAATATTTATGCAATCGAGCAATGGGCATACACTTGTTTTTACAATGTATGATTTAAAAAATCGATTAGCACTGGGATTTACAGAAGAGTTAGTAGGCAAGGGACTACTAAGAAAAAGAGAATATATTCAATTCTACAGAGCTAATGCTCTTATGATTGTAGCTTAAACAAAGCATTTTGTTATCATTATTTTGCTTTTTTCCTAACAATAATTTTCTAAAAAAAGGCTATCGATAGCTATCGCACAGTTGCGATATGTCTTTTGTGTTTGGGTAAGCGTGACAGCATCCCTGGTTCGATACGTGTATCGATATCAGTCTAGCGCTGTCAATTATTTACCTATATATATATATTTTGTCTCCCCAAATTTATAAATTTAAACGCCCAAAAACAATTGTACACAATATTGCAAAGTGTACGAACGAGAGAAAAAAACGCATACAAATGCTCGCCAAGCATTGATGAGCCGCAACGAACGCAGTGGAACGCCAAAAAAATACAAATGAAGGAGGCGGAGAGCTGCTGCGGCTCCATTGACAACCCAACCCAAAAAGCATAAGCGAGAGGAGTACATACATGTAAAAAGTAAAAAGTAGAAAGAAAGAAAAAAAAAGGGAAAAATACACGAAAATTTGAGAGAGTGTGTGCAGCGAAAAAGTGCAGACTATAAATATATAAATATAGCTGATAATCAATTTGGAAAAATTGGTAACAAATTGAAATTCAGCAACAATGGATACAGAGAGACCAAATAGCCAAGAGACAAAAGTCATTTATCATATTGACGATGAGAGCACACCGTATCTGGTTAAAATACTGATACCATCCGCTCAAGTCACGCTCAAAGACTTTAAAATGGTGCTCAACAAACAGAACAACAATTACAAATATTTCTTTAAGTCAATGGATGCCGATTTTGGTGTGGTCAAAGAGGAAATTGCGGACGATGCCACAATACTGCCTTGCTTCAATGGACGCGTCGTCTCTTGGCTGGTCTCGGCCGATGGCACCAATCAGTCTGACAATTGCTCTGAGCTGCCGCCCAGCGAATGTGAGATGCGTGTGCGTAGTCATTTGGCGCTGCAGCAGCAGCAGCAGCAACAACAGCAGCAACAGCAACACCAGCAGCAGCAGCAACACCAACAACAGCAACACCAACAGCAGCAACAGCTACAGCAGCAACAGCAACAACAGCAGCAACAACATAAGCTAGGACCACTGCAAATGCTGCAGCCGCCGCCACTCACATATCAATCGGCCTCGGTGCTGTCGAGCGATTTGGACTCGACAAGTCTGTTTGGCACCGAATCGGAGCTGACTTTGGATCGGGATATGACCGACTATAGCAGCGTTCAACGGTTGCAGGTGCGCAAGAAGCCGCAACGTCGCAAAAAGCGGGCGCCCAGCATGTCCCGCACTTCGTCGTACAGCTCCATTACGGACTCAACCATGTCGCTGAACATTATAACCGTCTCGATTAACATGGAGGCGGTCAACTTTCTGGGCATATCCATTGTTGGGCAATCAAATCGCGGCGGCGATGGCGGCATCTATGTGGGCAGCATCATGAAGGGCGGCGCTGTTGCTCTCGACGGCCGAATCGAGCCGGGCGACATGATCTTGCAGGTGAACGATGTTAACTTTGAGAATATGACCAATGATGAGGCGGTGCGTGTGCTGCGCGAGGTGGTGCAGAAGCCGGGGCCCATCAAATTGGTGGTGGCCAAATGCTGGGATCCAAATCCAAAGGGCTACTTTACCATACCACGGACGGAGCCGGTCCGGCCAATTGATCCTGGCGCTTGGGTGGCGCACACACAGGCGCTAACCTCGCATGACAGTATTATGGCTGATATACCGGAACCCATTAAGGAGCGGCTCGATCAGAACAATCTCGAGGAGATTGTGAAGGCCATGACAAAGCCGGATAGCGGCCTCGAGATACGCGATCGCATGTGGCTTAAGATCACCATACCAAATGCGTTCATTGGCGCCGATGCGGTCAATTGGGTGCTGGAGAACGTCGAGGATGTGCAGGATCGTCGGGAGGCGCGCCGCATTGTCTCCGCGATGCTGCGCAACAATTATATTAAGCACACGGTCAACAAGCTGACCTTCTCCGAGCAGTGCTACTATGTGGTCAACGAGGAGCGCAATCCAAATATGCGTGCCCAAATGCATCCGTTAGCGCATGCATTGAGCCATGCCGATACGGAGAGCATTACCAGCGATATTGGGCCGCTGCCAAATCCGCCGATCTATATGCCATACTCGGCCACGTACAATCCAAGTCACGGCTATCAGCCGATACAGTACGGTATCGCCGAGCGCCACATCTCGTCCGGTTCGAGCAGTTCCGATGTGCTTACCAGCAAGGATATATCCGCATCGCAAAGCGACATCACCTCTGTCATACATCAGACCAATCAACTGACCATCGCTGCCCATGGCTCCAACAAATCGTCGGGATCATCGAATCGCGGCGGCGGCGGCGGTGGCGGCGGCGGTGGCAATACCAACGATCAGGACGTATCCGTATTTAATTACGTATTGTAGAAATTTTTTGCAATGAAATTGTGTGTTTATTATTAATTAATTAATTAATATAATTATTCTTTTTATACATATACGAGTATACAACAAACAAACAATATAATATGTATATTTATAAGTCATGCTGATAATGATGATGGAAATGAAGATGGAGATGGAGATGGAGATGATGCAGATGGATGATACAATGGATACAGTGTCAACTAAAAATTAGTTCGAATTGCGTTTGTTGTGGCAGCTCACGCGGCCCGCAATCAAAATGAGAGAACATCGCATGTTGGATGAATGTAAGCCAGTTAAATGAGTATAAGAATGAGATGATAATTTTGAATAAAGTTCTAAGAATTTAGTAATCAAAAAACAAAAAAACAAAAAAAAAAAAATAAAAAATAAAAAATATAACAAATACTTTTGTGTCACTGTTTATATTTGCATGCCGTAAAGGAATTGCAAAGGAAGTTAATTAACTTATTTGTTTTATCTGATAAAAGTTTTAAGCAATTTAGCAAAGGTCTTTGACCTTTCAAAAGAATATATATAGTGTATGAATGCTATGGGATTTTTATTTCAAGTGTTGATTGGCTATCCTTTAAGACTACAAACATGATTGTTTTTCTCATATTTTCCATTATACTAATACAATGAAATTCTAGATTGCTTACAAATTTGTCTAACACAATAATAGTTATTGCAACTCAAATTGCGCGCCAAATTCGCCATCTTCCAACACTGTTCAGACACTGCAATCGATAAGCTATCAGTTATCGAAGTAATATAAATTAACACAAACAGAAATATGGCTGCAGAAGTGGAAACCTCTGCTGCGGTGGATAAAACATCGGCTAATGCTGAAGAACTAGAAAACTATTACTTAATGCTGGAATCGGGCAACATACCAGAACTACAATGGCAATTCCCTGGACGGCGCGCGCCATCGCCGGACGCTAATGCCGGTGGTAACCATAAAGAGGTGGAAGCAGCTGCTGAGACTGTGGAACAAGAGTAAGTCAATAGTGAGCATAAAAGAGTTTAAGTCGAACTATATATTTGATACCATTTGCAGGCCACAGAAGGCAAACGATTTTGATTTCAGCGACGATGTTGCACCCACTCAAATGCGTGTACGTAGCCAAACATCGACGCCAAAGTCGGCCAAGAAGAAGACGGCCAATTTTGCCGGCGTTATGGAGACGTTGAAGAAGAAGAAAACTGAAGGCTCCTAGCAGACAATAAATCTTCTAGCAAGACGCTAATGAAATATGTAAATATGTACATATAAACATGTATTTATATATACTGATAGAAAGAGCAGCCAAGCATATACTATATGTAATGAGAACTAATTGCTATATTATTTAATTTATGCATTAAGTACTGTAATAATTACAATTATCAAACAATATTTTGACATGGTAAACTGCTTAGAATATCGGAATTGTTATAAGGAGGAAAGCTTCCATATATGTATATATATACATTTGTATACATTTATGAGTTAATGGTTTATCAATTCAGAAAGTAATAATAATAAGTTTTTAAATTATTCTAAACTACAAAAAAAAAAATTGATTGAAAAACCTTAATTCATAAATTCATAAAACCTTCAGTCATAATGCAGTTTGAAAATATTCTATGTCTACCTCCTTCTCTTTCATTTGCATGTGAACAGGAGAATATATATAATTTTTATATAAGACTAGGTCTAAGCATCATATATGATAAATGAAAAATGTCTGCATATTTATAGATGTATACCTATACCATAATATATATATATATATATATCTTTATAAAGTTCAAACCTAACCAAACCAACTATTCCTTGAGCTAAGCTTCTATTGCTTACTATTTGTTGCCGTTCTTTATGATTTTCATAAATGAATGTAGGGCTTAAGATTTCTGTTATTTCAGGGTGATAATATCAAAGGTTTTTCAAAATAATCCTTGTCCTTTATTTTTGTGACTGACAAATATTTTATATATTTCTTTCTCTCTCTCTCTCTCTCCTTCTCTCTTCAGTTAGGTATCTCTTTCATTTCGCTGCAGTCACTCTATATAAGACCTCTCCCTCGTAAAAACTGAACAAGAGATTCGCTTTTATTTACTTGATCAATTCATTTTTATTGGTTTAAAATGGCATATATATATAGTATATATATATATATATATATATATATAGTTGAATTGACTCATGTCAATCATGATTGACTCATGTCATTTGTTTTTTGTGTTTATTTTATACATAATATACATAAACATATACATTAACTATATGTGCACAGATATTTGTTGAGTAAATTTTACATAAAATACGTTTTTATATATTTGCTTGATTAGATTGAAACATATATAAGTGGGCCCCACATACAGCGCATATTCCACTTTTGTACATTTTAATTATATATATATGTATATCAAGCTAAGCAAAATTTAACAATCTTGTCTAAATGTTTAACAAACTAAAATGAGAATCGTAGAATGATTGCTACTCAGAGAAATAGAAAGGAAATTGTAAGAAAAAGAAAAGACATCATTCGATGCGGGTGAATGGTGCTAAAATACAGAATATATATATAAATATCGTTATATATAAATATATATATATAATGATGATATATATTAATATAGCTTAAGTTCAAATGAAACTTTGTTGCTGTAAAGCACGTGCGTCCGACGTTTTAAAAACGCCTATGTGTGAGTGTATGTAGTAGGTGTATGTGTGTGTTAAAGTAGTTAAGATAAAAATAATAACAACTTATAATGATAAAAGAAAACATTAACAATGCAATTTCAATGCTGCTGTCATATAGAACACACCCTTTCCAATATCTTTTAATGATTTTTGGACCAGAATGGGGCACTTTCTTTATATAGATCATATGCCCGTTTATATTATCTGCTCGCCCGCTTCTGCTAATGATTCATGTCATTCGTTCTCTAACGTTATACTTCTGTTGAGTGATTGTTGCGGCTGCTGATGCTGTTGATGCTGCTGCTGTTGCTGTTGTTGCTGTTGCTGCTGTTGCTGCTGATTGCCTGTTGCAGAAGCAATATTGTCGCCAGTCTCACGTGTTATGATTTGTATAATTTGTTGAAATGACGGACGCGATTTGGGCGTCTCATGCCAACAAGGACGCATCAGCTCATTGTAAACGAAGTCCGAACATAGCTCCGGCTTAGGTAAACTGCAAAGAAAACACGCATTATTAGAGTTGAAATATTCGCGATTTGCCCATTGCTTTGCAATTCGCATACCGTTCTCCCTGTCGCAGACGATTTAGGAACTCTTCCTGTGTCAAATCATGTCCCGGTAACAGATTTGGTATTTCGCCACGTGAGAACATTTCGAAAAGCGTTACGCCGTAGCTCCAAACATCTGAATACGATGAGAATTTGCAGGTTTCAATAGCTTCCGGCGAGTACCTACAAGTGCAATGAACAGTAGAAATTGGTTATGTGCCAAATGGGGAGCCATAAATAATCTCTTATACAAACCATTTGATTGGTATATCCCGCTGGCTGATGCCGTAATAGTAGCCATCGGCATTGGCGAACTGCGCCAGGCCAAAATCTGAGATTTTTACACATGAACGATCGACTAGAATGTTGCGTGCTGCCAGGTCTCGATGTATTAGGCCCTTTCCAGATAAATAGTTCATGCCCTGCAAGTGGCCACAAATGTTATTAGATTGGATCATTGGATACAAAATGATGACATCTACTTACGTGGGCTATGTCCAGGGCAAAGGTTAGGAGGCGGGCATTGGTGAGACTGGGTTTTCGAGAACTCAAGTACACAATGAACGAGCCAAATTCGAAGTACTCCATTATGATGCTGAGCGACTTTTCGGCCCAATATTTGAACTTCACTACATTTGGATGGTCTAGCTTGCGCATGATGTCGATTTCGCGCAGAAAATCATTGGTGACCTGCACAGTTTTGAGCTTCTTGATGGCCACCTGCTCCTTGGGTCGATCCTTGTCATGATATTCGAGTTCGCCTCTGTAAACGGTGCCATAGTGTCCCTGGCCAATTTTGTGTTTCTCACAATAGATAACCTTGCAGTCGTACAACTGTATTACCAGCGGCAAATCATGCGAATTGGCAAAGAATTCACTGCTTAAGCCAACGGCTCCATTGCACAGCGTCAGGCTGTCCGTGTCGGGCGAATGGTGTCGGCCATTGGCCATGCCATAGCCATAGCCATCGGAGTAGTCGACTAAATGTTAAGAAAATTTGAGAATATATTAGCAAGAACAGACAAAGTTGCTTATACACATATATATAAATACAAAGCCATGCACTCTATGCCTGCCGGCTGTCGAGTGCAATGGACACTTAAGCCTTATCATGCGCATCTTATCATTTAGTAATCGGTCGGTGATTACACTTACACGACTCCATTTCAGTGTCAGGCACATCGTAGTTGCGTTGCAGGCGGTTTTTGACAGTATTCAGCCGAGTGAAAATATCGTGATGACTGAATCGCTTGTCCGGATCATCGCTCCAGCCATCCATAATGGTGTTGTACATTTCTGGCGGACACCGGCGCTGATCTAGTGGCGCCAGTATGCCACCATCAATGGATCGATGGCGTATGAGATCGCGCTGCTTCAGCTGATCCAGTGCCTGCTGGCCACGCGAGAATATTTCGTAGATGGTGGTCGCAAATGCCCACAGCTGAGTGCTAGAATCCTGCTTGGCACCCTCCAAGTTGTTGTAGTACTTGATCGGTATCCAAGGTGAGCTACAAAAACACGGCGTAATAATAAAAGAAACAAAAAAAAAACCGTAAGTTTATGCTGAGTATTGAAATCTAGAGACTGGTTGCTCACTCGGATTGCTTGTACGGCCGCGGATAGCCTGGATCGCTGATTTTGGCATCGAGTACATACTTCTCGGAGTTGTATTTGGTAACGTACAAATTGGCACAGCGTATATAGCTGTGTATAATCTTATTATCCTCCAGATAGTGCATGCCACGAACCAGGCCATGCATCACGTCCAGCAGGCAGTACATGCTAATGTTCGGATTCATTTGCAAAAACTTATTTAGTGGTCCGTATTTCGAGTACTCCATGACCATGGTATATGGCACAGACAGGGTTAGGCCATACAGTTTTATGAACTGAGGCGACTGTATCAAGCTCCAGGTTTGAGCCAGCTGCATGAACTCCTCAAAGTTCGCGTCGTACTTTAACATTTTCATTGTGACTGGCACATCCTTGAACGAGCCCTGCTGTATCCAGTCGCCGCGCATTGTGAACATCTTGTCATCATCGCTGTGATTAATCGAGTCTGTAAATGATAAGTACTTTAGTTTCTGTGTGCAAATGCAGAAGCGATTCCAATGGCTAGATTTGAAGCACTCGATCTTACCTCTGTACCATTGTAGGTCAGTTTTTGGATTGAATATCTGCGGATTACGACGCTGTAATTCCGCTTCACTCAATTCCGCTTCAGTCTTTTTGGTTTTCAAATTTTTTGGCAAACAGAGCAGCAGTAGCGGTGGCTTATCGTATTTCGAAGCCGGTATTCGTATACGATCGGGGCTATCGGTGTGTATAAATTGCGCCAGCTCTGATAGCTGATCGAAATAGTGCTCGTTGCTCTTGTATGCCAGCTTCCATTGTTTATCCTTGCGTATAATCTTAAACGTTTCCGTTTGGCAGCGTTCGTGATCGCTGTTTTTCGCCACGCTGCAAAGGTATATATATCATTTGTTTAGTCTAAAAATATCATTTGTATATACGTGTGTCCGTGTGTATGTGTACAGCTTACATTCTTGTATTGATATCAATATAATATGTGTTATACTCTCGATCGCACTGTCGTACTATATAACTGCCGCATTTGTCGCCATTATCGTGCAGTTTCATAAACGAGTATCCACCGCCGATGGGTCCATGGCAGTATAAACGATCCAATTCCTCTAGCGAGGGTGTCTTATAGGACGGACACAAGTCCTGCATCCATTTCACAGTTAATCTAGATATCCAAATAGTTTTAGTTATGGTCGTAATAATATAGTCTTATCTGGTTTCGTACCTAATGTAAATGCCCAAATATGATATGAAAGAGTTCATTTCATGCTCCGCCTCGAAACGCATGTGATAACCTTTGGGAAAGCCAACGATTTCCAAGCGCACAAGCTGTTCGCTTTCCTTGTACAGCGAGAAAATGTCCTCGACAACGGCCACCAGACTCCACTGCAACAACAAATCAGAGAGGGAGACATTTGAAGAGGGGGTCAAAATAATATGGGCAAAGGATGAACAAAACGAACGCTATAAACTAAATTTGTAAAGGATAATTTGGATAAAGAGATAGCTGAGCGATAAATATAATAATAATAATAATGTTTATAATATTGTTTTACAACATGAACATTTCCAGGGTCTCAATTGCAAATGGCTGAGCAGTCTATATAACACACAGATCTGGCTAAACATATGCACAACACACATATAGATGTATATATATTTAAATCAGGTAATTTGAAACATGAAAATGCCATCGCTAGACATGTAAACAGAGCCCTTTTCATGCTCTATTCTCTATATGAGCTTGGTCTTAGCTCGCCTTTTTTAAGGAGAGATTGGGATTTCGAGACGAGTCAAGTGTTGGACAGCTGTTGTTGCTCTAACAATCGGCAGCTTTTAGCCTCTGTTTAACTATAAAGAGAGAGTATTGTTTAGTTATATACAGCCGATGATTCTAGATTAAATCATTAAAATACGATTGCTTTGATTAAACAGAGAACAAACGCAGCCCATTTGCATGACTTTTAATGATAATGTCGTTTGTGTTTCCTTGGAAATGTCCAAATGTCCAACTGACAAATGTAACGGCGATTACCCACCTTCAGAGTGGCCTCGGATGTAACGCGCGCCACCTTCAAGCCCGGTTCGGGTGAGTCGTGGTGCCAGAGTCTCACATAGACGGGTATCGAGTTGGGCAGCTGCTGGTGTGATGATCTGTGTCGACTTGGCTGCAACGGATGCTGTCTGCCACGTAGAGTGTGTGTGTCGCTGCCGCTGTCGTTGCGCTGATTGCCCGGCCCAGTAATTGTGGTTGAGAGAGTCGTATTGGAGCCGGTGACTAGCGTTGCGGTTGACGTATGCGTTGAACTGCCGATGCTGCCGTTGCCATGCGTCGGCGGCTCCGTTGTCGATTCGTTGGGAAAATACTCGACCGTTGCCTTAAACTGTTCCGTCAGATAGGTGGGCGCCAGATGGCAAATTTGATGCACATAATGCCATTTGAGGCTATCAACATTCGGCGGATCGTTGCTCAGGCGGCGAAAGGTGCTGCGTATTTTGGAGCGCACAAAGATGCGATGCGCACGCCACAGACTGCGCGGCAAATAGCTTTTGTATGCCTTTTCGACATCCTGGGATCTGAGCTGCTGTTCCTCCTTATCGATTAGCATGTCCATAACGGCGAGGCCCATGACCTTGTCCTTGTGCTCCGGATAGCGTATCTCGGTGATCTCCTCATGCAGCATATCATAGCGCATCTGATGGTACAAATACTTATGGCAGTGCACATCGATTACCGTCAGTTGTCTGTCCAGTTCTGGGATACGGAAACGCATACGAAAACAGTAGCGGACATTGCAATTGAGCAGCTCGCCTGGCAGCTGCCATTTGTGCTTTACTTTATCTGCGGGTGTGTCGTTGTTGTTGCTATGCTCACGTATGCCGAACAGCAATACTGCCGTGGGCAATATGTCCATATGGCGGCACATTTTGGTGCATATCTCCTCGCAGTGGAGCGGTGGTGAGAACGTCTCGTAGTCGCCCTTGCGATAGTTGTAGACGTGGATAAGGCCATCGTTTTCAATATTTTGGCTTGAGCTGCCGTTCTGCAGTGATGCTGTTGCCAGACTGGCGCTATCTGCTAACGAGGTGCGTCCGCTGCTGCTGTCGTCCATTGTTGCCATTGCAATAAGCTGAACAGCAGTAGCAACAACAACAACAATAACAACAACGGAAAACTCTTCGACCACCTCCCACCCGCCGCCGCCGCCTGTAGCTCACAGACGCTAGCTACGATCGCAGTTTGGCTACGAATATAGTCGATTAAATTAGGGCTTTGTACAGGTGCAACAGCCACAGCACGAAAACAAAACAAATTCAATCAAATATTTTTCTTTTCTTTTTCCTTTTCTCTTTTTCGCCTATTTTTGGCTCAGCTGGTGTTTGCGTCGGTGCTTCATTAATGTGCCGTTTAATTGTTATAATTTCCACGCACTTGCACTCTTTTTTTTTCAAATTTTTAACTATCTACGTTGCGCAAAAAATGTAAATACAGCGGATGGAAAAAAAATAATATGCAGTATATGCATTGATTGTTTTTGTCTAGTTATTTCTTTAAAGCAAGTATCGATAACTTGTTGCAGGCTGAGTTGCCTGATTTTACAACACTCTCGGTATTTACTGTCAAAATTGTGGCAACACTGACACTGAATTGACAGGCCAATTCTTTATATAACCTCAAAACTAAAAATTTCAAGTATCGGGCGAGAAGAGAAATAGTTTATTTTTTTGTGTAAATATATTCACTGAAAACTTGACGAAAAGCTTTAACCATCTATACCAGCTATGTCCGACTTCGAGAATCTAACCGGCAATGATAAGGAGCTGCAGGAGTTCCTTATGATTGAAAAACAAAAGGCACAGGTTAATGCGCAGGTAAATGAAATGATTCCACAATATAACCCATACGTACATATTGGTACTTATATATAATAACGTTCCGAACACACACAGATACATGAATTCAATGAAATCTGCTGGGAGAAATGCATTGGTAAACCAAGTACCAAACTAGACCATGCCACAGAGACGTGTCTGAGCAATTGCGTTGACCGATTCATCGACACTTCTCTGTTGATAACACAGCGCTTTGCACAGATGCTGCAAAAGCAGAGCTCCGGCGGCATGTAGGCGGCTAATCAAAGACGCTGTAGAGTGCATTGGTGTTGCAGCAAGCAACAGCCCTTATCACAACAAATACTACTACAACAACCACCACAACATACGCATACTCTTGTGAGCCTAACCAGCTGGATTTGCAAACTTGTTTTTGTGCTTTACATACGTTTCCAAATAACTAATTTCTAAAATTACCTTGTAAGAAGTTTGATGTGCGTTTGGCGTTTAAGCCAAATTCTCTGGACAATGCGGTGCTAAATTTTTATTCTGTCGTTCACCGTGCGTATTGCTAGCGGCAAAACTTCAAAATTCTGAAAACCGAAAAACCTTAAAAGAAGCAAACTTGACAACACAAAAAGAAATAACTACATAAACCTTGTACAATTTTATTATTTTTTTTTTTTGTTGAAAAGTTTAATGTTAAAAAGTAAAAATAAACATTATAACAATGTTAGTTACTGGTAAAAACTAGTACTACTACGATTATTATCCTTGTTTCGCCACACTTTGCTCTTTTTTCAGCTGGCGATATAGATCAACCATTTTGTTGCGCTCTCCCTCGAGCATGTTACGTGTTGCAGCTGGCAGATCTTTACGTTTGCCTTTCATTTGCAATTTTGTGGGCGCACTTTGAGCTGCAGCTTTCTTTTTACTACTAGTTACAGGGGAATTCTGCGCGGTCAGCGTTGCTGGAGTCATTAGTGATTTGAGCAACAGGTTTGATTTACGTCCTGGTCTGGGCACAGTCTCATCTTTGTTTGCCTTACGCGGCAGCGTCTTTAGTGAAGGTGGTGCATGAACAATTTCACCAAATTTAAAAACATCTCGTTTATATTCCGAAAGAGGAGCAGCCTGTAAATAAAAGAAAGTTAGATAGAAAATTCTTATATATATACATATGTATGATTGAAACACACCTCTTGCTGCACCTCTTCATCGGCTTCCTTGAAGGCTCGCTTTATTAGCTCCTTACGCGTTTTTGCATCCATTCCATTCTTGACCACTGCATTGGGTTTTCTGCGTCCATTTTTGAGATTATGGCGTTCTTTCTGTTTCTGCTTGAGCAGCTCATCGATCTCGTTTTTCGGTCGCTTCTGTAGCGTTATTTCGCCCGTTGACGGATTGCGTATGACATTAACACCATATTTCGCCTCGTATTGTGCTTCTCTCACTGATGCACTGGTTATGCGATTGACTCGTCGCAGATATTCCGCATCTGTTTCATTGTCGAACTGTTTTATTTTGCCTGTTTTTTGGGTTCCCGTCGTATTTGTCGTTGACTTTTTTGTTTTTGTATCCTTGGGTTTGTCTTCTCTGCCAATATTACCGACCTTCAGCTTTTTACCCGCTTTCGCGGCCTCAACAATTCGTTTGAATTGCTTAAAATTGTGTGAAGCTCGCTGCTCGTCGTTTTGCGTTGGAGGATTGTTTGTCACGTTGGCCAGCCTTAAAAATATGTGGGATAAGATATAAGCTGAATAAACAGTGCTAAAGTACATACTTTTTCTCCTTCTGCTCGATTTGCTTAAGCGGATCTCGTATTCCATGATGCTTGCGCACAGGTATTTTGCGTTTCTTCGCCATAACAACAAATGTGCCTGATAATCAAGTAATGTTACTCGTGGTCACGTTTATTCAAAATAGCAGCAACAGCTGATTTTGTGTGTAAGTATCGGCGATGTTTCTATAGTGGACAATCGCTGAAGCAACTTATTTAATCGCAGTATATTTATTGCATTTATTGTTTATTTGGGAAAATTAAGGATCCAATATCTTCCTTTTTGATATTCATAATGTAATTTTCAGAATCTGCTTAATAGTCGCAAAAATTATATTACTTAAAATATTTATCGGCTATCGTACAAATCATCGATATTGCATAATTGGTTACTGTCAAACTGGTACACCCGGCATGTTATCGAAGGGCTTATATCCAAGGACTGCATAATAATACATATTTACACACAATACATACACATGCGCTAATACGTATGTAAATGTATGCAATACATTTTTTTCTTTCAACTTATATCTTCACACTAATAGCCCAATGTACATATGTATGCGTGTTTATTGCAATTGCCGTGTTCTCTGTCTGCACTGCATATGTATAAAATGCGCATGCGCCGAATATGTGAGACGAGCAGAAAGACAGAGGCAGATAGGCAGAGGCAGGCAAACAAGCAGCCACAGCCAGAGCCAGCAGCCCAAGTAACTAGCGAGCTTATAAGAGAGCAGAAAATCGTAATATATTCAACGTGCTTCATGCTGAACGCAAACAGTAATTTATTTATATTTAACATACAATGCTCGAGGCCTGTGCCTAACAAATGTCCTTTTGATGTGTGAACGTGTATGTAATACAGATTGTGATTATTTATTTTTTTTTTTTACCTACTGATTGTGACAATATTATTTTGATAAAAATTCAAATGCAATTTACACTGACAACTGAATACGGAAAATAGTGTGTACAAATGTATGTATGCTCATACACATGTACATTTGTATATATGTACAATTGTACATTTGTTCAACGTGCGTGTTTTCTACTTTTTTTCATCTATTTTTTTATATGTATTTATGTATAAGGATATACAAATTGTACAAGGGATGTTGTTTAAAAATGAATAGTGATGAGTGCCCCAGCAGCAGCAGCAGCAAGCAAATAATCAAATACATAGTATGCAATACAGATAGATGTACATACAATTATACACACATCTACATACATACATATTTGCCCTCACATGTATGCTCATATGTATGTGTGAGTGTAGCGTGACAGCCGCAGCATCAGCTGCCAGAGCATCAGTGAGCTCATAACGGTGCGCGAAAACGTCGAAAACTTACTATGGTCCCAACATTTTGTTCGTGAGTGAAAAAAGGTTGTTAGATATGTGCATAAGCGAATATTGAGTGAAAAAAGTTGTTAGATATGTGCATAAGCGAACATTGATTACATATATGTATGTATACACACACACACACACGCACTCTCAAAGATAGTTATGTATATGTAACATCAAAGTATGCTATTAAAATTATCAAGCATAATATCTTACATCAACTATGTATGTTCTTACATACATATCATAATTAAATACATAACGAACGACAAAAAAACCATTTGAATTCTTCTTCCATAATGAAGAATAATTTTGTTGTTACAGGATAATTAAAAATATAAATCCCATAAGTGCATGCTCGCATAATATAAACATTAATGACACAAGCACATGTATTTAAGTATATATATATATGAATATATATGTACATATTTACATATGTGGTTGGCGGCAAATTCGGCAAAAATGTGGCTGGCACAAATTTGTTTAATAATAAAACTAAGACGAAAACATGTAAATATGTATGTTCGTCTGCTCAAATATTTTGTCGTAATGTTGCTTGAACTTAAATACATATGTACAGATGAACATATGTACATTCGTACACAACTATGTCTGTCTGCATGTATGTACGGCTTATCTAAAAATATCGTACATAAATTGAAATAAATAAATCTTGCTTTCAAGTATAATTGCAATTGGTTTTGTACGGTCGCTATGTGAATAAGAATTAAATGCCAGAGTTTTAGTTTTTTTCGTATACAAAAATGTATAAAATTACATAGTTCGTATTCATATAGAATGTGGCTGTCAGCTAACTGTAAATCAAAATTCAAACGAACGTGCGTCAAGGTCAACGCATAAATTTATCGGTGTCCGTACGCAGCTTTTAAATAATCGAAATGGAAATCGAATGTATACATACATACATACAGACGTACATACTATCATATAAATACTTACTGAGCTACTTTCTTATAGCATACTTTAATGAGCTCTCCTTGGCGAGCTACTGTGCAAGCGAGTGGGTGCGCGAGCGAGCGAGCTGGCGACCGCACGTGTGTAACCTACATACATGGGTGTATGTTTGCAGTGTATATGTGTGCTTGCGTATGTAAATTTGGTACGCACATCAGTTGCGATAATTACACTAGACTATATTTGAACCATGGCTGAATTACTTGAGTTGTGCAATTTGACTCAAGCACCTATAAATATGCTTATTAAAAGCATTCCATTGCCGTATATTAATCATACGCCACGTGTAATTAGAGTAATTGCTAAAATGAAAGAAAGGCAGGCAATAAATACACTGCATTACGCGCAACGAAATATAAATTATTAAAAGCACGTTGGCAATCAATCGTCATTTGAGCCAAACGACAGGATAAGACGACAGTAATCGGCATGTAATGCCATTCCAGCCAGCTAGAGGTGATTGAACTTGCCGGCGTTGCCACTTTAACCACACGCACACACACACATACACACACACACACACACACATATATATATATATATATATATATATATACATATATATATATGTATGTATATGTACATATGTATATATTTAAGCTCGCATTTGCGCTCTCTCGCTCATCAGTCTTTTGCCTTTACGCTTTGCTTTCGCCTTTTCTGCGCTTGCCTGCTTCTATTGTTGTAATATGCATATTACTTAAAACAAAAGAATGCGTTAATAAAGGTCATAATTTTCTTGCTTGTTGAGTAAATTAAGTCGATATTAAAATAAAGCTAATTGGCAAACGATATTATGTGTTAGCAATACTGGGAATATATGTAAATACATACATATATACGCACATATGTATGTAAATATGTCCACAATAAACATTGGGTTCATTTATCATAATTTTCCTATTAAAAGAAACTAAACAAATAATAAATACAATAATTATGTACGTCTCTGCTGGCAACAAATTAACAGTTTTACACGATCTAATGCACACATGCCAAAGCATAAGTTCGCCAAGGAAATTCACTCAGAAGAGCGCAGCGTAGGAGAGAGAGAGTGAGAGAGAGAGAACGAGTGAAACACGAGTGGCAACGCTCTTTTGAGCGCTTCCCGTGCGAACAGTGTTGTCAAAACGTTTTTTTATTCTCCATATTGCAGATGTGATCTGCGACAATTTGAAAATTATATATTACGACGCAAAAATAGACTAGAAACAGTACAATTGCCATCGTACTACATGGCTAACATTTCGTGTTCCTTTTTCGATTCTCAAGTGAGCGCTGGCAACACTACTTACAGACTCGCTCGCACGTTCGTTTAGCTGCTCACTCACTCAAGAGGCGGTTGCCATGTTGCGAGCGGGCGCGGGTGCGACGCCTAACGGTTTTCGAGCATGATTAGCGTAGTATTCCTGCGATGGTCAGGGACGGTACGCGTTGAGCCAATCAGTTATTGTTCGTTTCGCTAACAATTCAAAAATAGGAAATATTCTTTAATATCTGACTGATCCCCATGCATACATACATACATATATGTATTTGCGCACGACAAATCCCAAAACAAAAAGAGAATTTGCTGAAATAGCACAAAAAGAGGCGCACTCATATGAGTATGTACCTTGTGCCTCTGTGTGTGTGTGTGTGCATATAGCCATCAAAGCAGACGGTGAATACCAGGAATCAGACAATAACCGCAACGCTAGCGACAAAACATTTTGGGGTCGACAAAAATTTCAACATTCAAATTTCTTTCTCATTTATTTGATTTTGTTTTCGTTTCACAAACTTTCGGTACAAATGCGTGTGTATTTTTGCAACTAAATATATTTTCATTAAAATGTGAATATTTCAAATTGAAATGGAAATTGAAATTGAAATTTAATTGCAATAAATGTTTTTTTTGCTTGTTTTTTCAGTCTTGTCGCCGCTTGCCATTTGCATGAACGTTCGAATATGAATTAAAATCAACTTCATTTCCTATGTGCACATGCGTGCCCCAAAATAACACACATACACACGCACACACACGCGCAAATGAACATGCGTCAATCACAGTGAAATTAGTTCAAAGTTTTGTGACGTTAAAATCCGAAATCTGAAATTGAAATTATAAATGTAAATGCCAAAAGCCAGAAAAATGTTTAAAACAAAAAATACAAAAATAAATTGAGTGCACAGTTTATAACCGAACTAAACTAAAAACAACTATAACTGAACATGCAAATAATAAACAAAAACAAAAGCATATATATACATGTCTCTCAATATATATGTATCTATGTATCTAAATACATATGTATGTGAAAGCGACTGAGCCAAATATATATATACATACATACATACATATATATATATATATATATATATATATATATATATATATATATATATATATATATATATATATATATATATTTATATATATATATATATATATGATCTATTTACAACTCGCATAACAAATATTACAGCAAAGTCCATTAAAGTAAAGTGATATATATCTATTTCTATATATATGTATATATGTATCTGTCTCTATGTATATATGTATATATAGAGTTTAACGACTTTCGAATACACAAATCAAACTAAAGCAACAAAAAAATACTACAACAACAGCTACAAAATGCCAGTGAAAAAGCAAGGTAAGCAAGCCATTTCCCAAATTTATTTCAATATATTTTTATACGAATCTCAAATATTTATATACTTAGATACACTCCTTTAAGCAGTGCGAGAGGAGTATATTAGCTTTATGCACTGCTTAGGGATTTGAATATTTTCTAATTTTTGGAATTTCGTCTTCGGAAATGTTACCTAAGAAATCTTATCTGAGGCAAACCTAAATGTTATTCTAGTGACAGCAGCAGCAGCAAGTATATAATTAATATATAGTTTAACTAAATCCAGTTTGCCATTTGTTGAGCTCCTGTTGATCTAGCTTTAATAAAATATATCCATATTTAATCAATTTTAATAAATGCAGCTCGTTAGGCGAGTATTCAGCAGTCGGCTACGCTCAACTCTTGTCTTCCTTTGTTTATTTATGCAATCAAATTAAAAATTTATGGACTAAATTGCGCCAAATAATTACAAATAAACTTTCGAAGGCGTTGCTTTTTTTAATAAACAATTTGTATAATTAACAAATGAATAATGGAACATTTCGCCGAGCCTTCATCAACTTTCTATAGCCATCAAATAGATCAAAATTGTTCAATTTTTATCTGCTTAATGGAAAATACTTGAAATTACTTTAAATACTTGAAAATACTTTAAGTAATTATCAAGTGCTTATCACATTAATTTATTTATGTGTGCTTAAGAAATGTTCAAAATCTTTTGAATGAATATGAAAACAAAACATGATCTGAAATGATGCTGAAGCTGATCTTTGGGTCTTACCTAAACTTTTTTAATACTCAAAAACTTCTTCAATTATTTATTATTTAATTTCATACAATTCCTGTTCAGAATTTACATTATTATTAATTACTAACCAAGACCTAGACTTGGGCTCGATTATAAATAATTGAATATCTTAGAAGTGTCTATATATATTTCATTTTTAAGATATATGTCTGTCTGAACGGATCCACAATAAAACAGAAAAAAATAATAGGGTATTCTTGTGGGGTGTACACAACTAGGACATACCCTGCAGATATGCATATAAAACATGCGTAAAAGCAAAGCCTAGCAAGATTCTATATCTATCGATTGCTATCGATTTCATAGTTATCGATCAATTGACTGGCTAAATTCTATAATGTAACCTAAATATATATAAATATATCTGAATAGTCATACCCGCCTTACATAAAGTACAGGGTATGTAAGGAAAAATTAGATATTTATAACGACTTGCATAGCTTAAACTATTAGTATATATAGATGCATATATATGTGAACAAGCATAGTCTGTTACTAGTACACTAATTGACTAGTATGCCCACTTTCGCATAGACTACAGGGTATATGAGACAAATTAGAAACAAGCAAATGTTGCCAAACTTTTTGAAATGGGCAATAAACGAAGGTCAGCATAAGTATGTGACGTGCTTTGCCAAGACGCCAAAATAGTTACATATATAAGATATATATATAGAGATAGATAGATAGATAGATAGATAGATAAATACGGATAGGTGGGCTTGTTTGTGCATATCTGAACGACTTTATGGCAATGTCATCCATGTTTGCTGTGCGCTGACCCCAAAAGATTTGTAAATGCCTGGCGAGGCGCAAAGCCTGAGACTGTGACGAAAACTGATGCAGAATGACAGAGGTGGAAAGCATAAATAGTTGGCCTGAAATGGAGAGTAGCTGGCCGGTGTGGGCAGGTGTTGCCAGGTGAGCGGTTAACCAGGCGTTCGGCGGGTGGCAGCGTTAGACACTAATTTTGCTTTCTGTTATTTTTTTAAGTCAATCTTTATTGATTTATTGAGCTAGTGTCGCACTCACACAGAACTCGTGTAGATGGTAGATGGTTTTTTTGGATGGGTATTATAAAGCAGTACGACAACGTCTCCGCACAGAGCTAGTGCTGACGGAACACTTGACTTGACTGGGCTTGACTTGACTTGTGCTGTGTTGTGCTGTGAAAAATGGACTCGGACACGGATTCGGATAGGGAAAAGAGCAGCGATCCCAATGAGGAGCTGCTTAGCAGTGATGATAAAACGTTCCACGACGACGACGACGACGATGATGAAGATGAGGATTCATCAGATATGAACGATCCAATTAGGCGAATCGATGCGGAACAAGTGCAATCAACAGCAGAGCAACTGCTGGTGGTGCTCATGCAAGCGGAAGCCATAGAAATGCAGCAACAGCAACAGCAGCAGCAGCAGCAGCAGCAAATCGATGTCGCTGTCGCTGTGGTTGACATGTCAGTGGCAACAGCTTTGGTACAACAAACAGCCACGGCCGAGCCACCTGACCAGCGTGTGCCAACCGAGCCCCTGATTGCCAAGTATGGCGAGAGCGTGCGTGAATCTGTGGAATGTTTTTACTCGGCCCAGGATCTGCTGGAGTACGGTCACATGCTGTCCTCGACGGCGGAGCAGCGCACGCCGGATGTGGAGTCCGGCTACTTTGATAAGTCCGAGAGTGACGATGTCTCGCGCGAAGACTTTGAGGCGCAAAGCTGCAGCTTGCGTCGACCCAAAGGCGCCAGTGCGCTGCCAATCCTTCCCAGCCATGAATTGGCATCTACCACGAGCAGCTCGGAGAGTTTGCGCATTGAGCTGAATCGCTTTTGCAGCTCCATTGAAGCTTTCGAGCTGCAGCAACAACATCAGCAGCAGCAGGAGCAGCAGGAGCAGCAGCAGCAGCAGTTGCTCATGATTGGGCAGCCAAGCGAGGCGGCCGCGGCTGGCGAGGATTTGGCAACGGACGAACGTTTCCTAGACACACAAAGTGAGCCATATATTATGCAGGTGTTTAGCCTAGGTAAATTGAATGATTGGCCAAACAGCCATAGAAAGACAAAGCTCTAGAATCTAGTCTGTAGAGACAGCAGAAACATTTCACTTATTTTCCGCCAGAGTTTGTGAAATTGTCATAAAATGCAGTGGAAATGGGAAAAGCTTTTAGGAATGGGCCACTTTGGTTGAAGTTTTAGTTGAATTTCACGCATTTCAGTGGAATTGACATTACATTTATGTAGAGCCAAGACTTTCTTTATATATACATCATACATAGAGGAAATTGTAATACTCAACTGTCTTTCATTCTTTGCAGAAGCCCATCGAGCCCTTGAACTGCTCGAGGATTATCATGCACGTCTCTCGGAGCCACAGGATCGTGCGCTGCGTATAGCAATCGAACGTGTGATTCGCATCTTTAAGTCTCGCCTATTTCAAGCGCTACTAGGTGAGTACTATATCTGGCAGCTATATCTGGATATATCTAGATGTATTTATATATATATATATATATATATATATGAATTTATGAGCTATTAAATAAGTCTTCTGTGCCAGGTATTTAGCTATCAATAATTTTGTATCTGTAGCAATGTTTTCTCGTTGCACTATTTCCGTATGTACGAGGTGTGCTCAAAAAGTATCGCTAATTATGTGCTTTACTCAGGAGATTATATGTTCATGATGCCCATTCACAAGGCAATTGTAGATCGAGTATTGGAGACCTGCGGAAATCAAATCAAAATTAGCAATACTTCTTAAACACACCTCGTATATGGCTTATGCGCTGTAGAGTTCTACGAAATAAGTCTTATTTGAGTAAAGTGTACATATTAGAATTATGTTTTTATCTACCTAACTGCCATCAAGCATATATCTTTTCATGCGGTAAAGCTCACTCGAAACAAGCTTCGTCTGGCATGCGAGCTGCTTCTAGAATATCTTTAAATATTTGTTCAAGATATGCTTGAGCTGATAAGCGCGGAGCTGCTGGGATTGGGTTTCATCCAAAATTGCCAAATGCTGCGCACAGTTCTCGGATATTTCTTGGTTCGTTTCTTTAAGCTGAGTCAAGCAAAAAGCAGCGTCGCGACGCAGCTCGTTAAATCGGATCCATAACTTGATACACACTTGAGTCGAGCGTTGCATAAACAAACGACTCGTCGACAGCCAACTCTTTGCTGTCTACAAAACAATGTATCTTAACTGTCTGTCTGTCTGTGTGTGTGTGCATAGGGAGGGTGCCATAGCTATATGCATTCCGCTTCCTTCTGGCCACTCACATTGGCTTGTCCATGGACAGAGCTCTGGATATTGACGTGTGCAGGAAATTAAATGGACGCATCCACACTTTTACATTTAGGCCACTTGACTTTGGGCTTATTGATGAGCAGGGCGTGGCACCGCCCCCCACCCGACACACACAGAACGACGATGCCACCCACCCAACCACCCAACCACCAAGGCTTGACCTAAAAACTTTTTATATGCTCAGCAACTGACGATATTATTTCCCACTTCCACTAAGGCGATATACAAAACTCAAATTGAGCACAGGAAATGCTTTTCAGTATTCGTGCTGCAGATACCCTGTAAAATAGCTACATTTTCGCTATAGAATTTGTTTTCTTATAGACAATTTTAACTTGACCTAGAATCGTATAAGACAACCTATATAAGAGACCCGCTGAAGATAGCAAGATAGATAAATAGATACCTTCTAAAATAGATTCATCTCTAGAATCTTAAGGACTTATTTTTCTTGTAACCAATACGAATTTGAGCTAGATTTATAGATTGTATAGGACAACCTATATAAGATACCATCTGAAGATACCCTGTAAATTGGGCTAATAAAAAATAATACTATAGTTTGCTTTTTTAGAAAGAACTTAATTATTTATGTGGAATTATTTTATATAATATATATAATATAATACCAACTTAAATAAACTGTAGATACCCTGTAAATATTAATAAAATTTAGTTGTTCATAAAAATAGTAGTGGAAAAGAAAACTTTTCAAGATTACTCGAACCTCATATATTATGTTAAGCATATAATTTTTGGTATATAACACAATACTACTAATTGCTTACCTCTTACAGATATACAAGAATTCTATGAATTGACATTATTGGATGACTCAAAGAGCATACAACAAAAGACCGCCGAAACATTGCAAATTGCGACCAAATGGGAGAAAGATGGACAAGCGACAAAGATAGCCGATGTAAGTAGAGCTAGAGTTGAGCATATAGAATATTGTATAAATAGTTTATATATATATCTGTTCTGTCCTTAGATCAATAGACTAATTCTGTTACTAGACTCAGTGTCGTAGTTTATTTGAGCTGAAAATATTATTGTATTATAATTGATTATAATACTTGGATTTACCAGCTCATATTGAATATTAGATTTTAGATTTCTACATTCTTTATGTATCTGTACGTGTTGTCCAGTATTTAGTTATAGGTAACCCCCTAGAAGAGTGCGTGTCTTAGAGTTTGTGATAGCTTTTTAGGTATATTTTTGAGACATTTAATCGTTTAATCATTTTGTGATCTTTATAATTTAATTCCATTTATATAAAAATATAGAAACATACGATCCATAAATGTTTTCATGATTTCACGCTTCTTTTAGTCAGCTTTAACACCTCGAACTCTATTCTCATGCTGCTCTCTCTTTCTATAATCCCCGCTCTCTCTCTTTCTCTCTCTCTCTATCTCTCTCTCTTTTCTTCGCCTATCTTATATCTCTTTAATCTTCTATCTACTTAACCCACTATGCAGTTTATAAAAACTACCAATCTAAATCGCAATTGCGTCTATGAATTTAACAACGATGCCACAAATCCCAATCCAAGTTCAAATCTTAATCAAACGGTGAACGCGGCCGCGCATGCCGAGGCCTTGAGCAGAACATTTAAAAATGAATTGGAAGAGATTTTGGTAAGCGCATTAACTCATTATAACATTATCATAATAACATAATCCATACAACTACAGCTATTCATATATATATCCATCATATGATCTGCCTACTGATAACCAAGCAAAACAATTATCTATACATAATATATACATAAAGAGGCATATAGATAGTTCCACTAGTATTACCTATATGCCACATGTATATAGATTTACATTTATCTCTTAGCCCTAAGCCAAAGAGTGGGCAAGAAATTGTCATCCAGCTTGAGTATCAAGAAACAAATCAGACTACCCGACTAGCATATACCCTGAACTCTGCCCAGAATTGCAATCCAATCACATGCAATATATATAGCGAACAGATGCATGCAATGACAGCTATATGTGTGAGGGGGCAGCTATCCAAAATCAGTAATATAAATATATATAAATAAAATGATTGCTGCATTCAAGCGGATAGGTGGAGCGACGCCTTATGGGGTGCGCCACGCCTACTTCAGCCTGTTATAAGAAAATAGATTTGATTGATTAATTGATTGATTGATTGATTTCAATGAATATAGATATATATTATAAAAATATATATATATAAAATATGTATGATGAGATAACTATCAGAATAGTTCTATCTATATAAAACAATATATAATATATATTATGATGATGTTTTATATGATATGATACGCCTTAAGTTAGGTTTCCAATTGGGAATAGCTGCTACTAAAGAGTCATAATTTAACTGACTTTATGACATAATTATTTGAAATAAAGCAGCAGATTAACTTTTATCTTTACGCCCGCAGATAAACAAAACAAAATGTTTTTTTTTGTGTGTTTTTGATTAGTTTTTGTATGAATGATGACTTTACTTTAACTAGTTCCAAATTGATTGATTGATTGATTGCGAGGCGCGACATAAATATTAACAGACAAGCCGAATAAGCAGAAAATTGTACACATAATTATATAAATATTATATTATATATGCACAAATATATATATATATAAAAAAAACTGAAAGTTTTGCTTGCGTGCGTCAGGTTGAAATCGGTATGCTGTTAGCGTGCAAGGCTAAGGAAGCTAAGCAAAGTTTTTGCTCAGGAAGTGCCCAACTAGGCAAGTGTCAAAACATTTGAGGCGGGTCACTTTTACAGGTCTTTACTGTAATACAAGCCCTGATTGCTTTTATCGCCAACGCTCACTGTCACCCTTTACCCGCTACCTCTCTCACTCTCACTCTCTCCCTCTTCCTCTTGCTCTCTCTCTGTTGCACTGTTTGTGTGGGTCTGTGTGTAGCCAAGCAACGCATTGGGTACACAAGCACACCCACACACCCATACACCCACACACGTACACTCATACAAGCAGTTTTAAATTTGATAAGGACTTAACTGTTAGCGTCGTCTGTTTTGTATTTGCAACATGATTTGTGTTGACCCAGTCAGGGGCAGAATAACGGGAACATGTTGTACAAGTGGGTGGCAATCTTGGAGCGGAACGTCACGCTTTAGTTCGTGCACGTAGCCCGGTTTCGGGTTCGGGTTCGGGTTCGGGTTCGCAGTCGTTCGTCCTGCGCCGACGCGATGCTTTTGTTATTGTACAGGCGATATCCAGGCTAAGGTACGTATTGTGCTGTTGACATGCGTAGTACGTTAACGTAAAACGTAAAACGTAAAAGTCAACGTAAGTCAAACGTGTGTACATATGCTAAATGGTAAATTATGTCTATGCAAATGTAGCGACAGCTTTTGCTGATTTTCTTATGACCTGATTGCACGCCGATAACAGATATGGATGAGGGCTTATGGATGGCTGCATGTGTGTGTATGTGTGCATGTATGTTCTCAAGGATGTGCTCGTGCAACAAATGCAATATCATCAATTGTTCAACAGCCGTGCTTAACGTATTAACTAGCACAAGGCGGCACATTTCTCAAACGCCCAATAGAGACCTTTCTGCAAAACCCCTCCCTCTACCCCGCCCCTACACCTTCCCCCACTAACGACGTCTTTAGCTGTTGTTGTTATTGCTGCTGCTGCTGTTGCTGTTGCTGTTTCTGTTGCTGTTGGCGTTGGCGCTTCGTGCGTCGCGCGTGGCAGTAACAGCAGCGCTGTCGACGTGTCGAGTCGCACAACTTTCGCGTATCCGTCAACTGTCCCCGTCTCTGTTTTCTGTCTCCGCTTCCTGTGCCCGTCTCTGTTGTTTCGTCTTTGGCCACCGTCTTTCTGCGCCCATCGTGTGCAAATTGCCCGGCATTTCAAACTTCGTTAGATTAACCACCTTTTCGCGCGTGCCTCTACAAAGTGGTTGTGCGTGTGCAGACATTTCATAAATTTTACACTAACGAATTTAATACCAAACTGCAATTACAGTTCGATTTGTGGACATTTGCGTTTTGAAAAATGTCCTAAAAAATACCATGCCTAATACCGTGCATATGTAATTAAGACATTTTACATACATAATTGTTCAACACTACCAACAATTACAAATTTTGGCACATGTAAATTGCACTCTTTCCAGTGCTGCATACACACACAAACACGCACACACACAGGCATATGGCGAACAGCTGTTAAGCATCAATGTTTGACACATACACACGCACTCACACACACACACACATATATATATGTATATATATATATAAATATATATACAGTTCTTGCCAGCTCTGCTAATTACATGTTGCTATCCCGTTTTATCGCCTTTTCGCTGCCAAACTATGAAAAAAATCGAGCAAGTGTCATCCATCCACAATGTGGATGCTGCCAATGTTAAACGTTGCCATAGTTTACAAAAGGTTTAAATTGTGCGCTGATCTCAACGCTAAATGGTTTTACCTGTAAGCTATATATGTATGTATATGTATATGTATATATATGTATATGTATATATATGTATGTATATATATATATATATATATATATATATATATATATATATATATATATATATATATATATATATATATATATATATACACATACATACATATACATTTGTATATATATATGTATGTACATATTGTATTTACTGCATATTACGTATACGCCTTGGCAATGTTTTCACAAAATATTTTCGATGTCTCTCCACTTGCAGACAGACATCTATATCAGAGGTACATATGTATATGTTTATGTATATGTATATGTATTCATATGTACATTAATTCGCTCGCTTTGGGCTTTTCATTCAGCTTTTTTCCGCTGGCATTGGGAAACTTATTAAAACAACAACAAATTATATACATATATCTATATATATACATATATATATATATATATATATATATATATATATATATATATATATATATATATATACAGATCTATGTATATATCCGACTCTTCTGTTTTGTTTTGGCATCTTGCTTGACTGCCGCCCGTCGTCGCGTTCGTCTTTGTTGTCTTACGCCAGTTATTCGCGCACATTCGATAGAAGCGCTAAGAAACGCGGCTTTTTCTATTGTGATATCCGAATTATACTGGTTATATACATATATATATATATATATAGATATATTCCTGTCCGTTGTTGATTTATGGGCTCGTCTTTCGATCAGTCACGCAAGCTAAAGCTTAATCTTATCTATAGACATAGTCAGAGTATATTAGAATTGCAAAAAGTATTATAAGTTTTCGAATTCAATTTATAAGAATTTCCAAAATGCACTTTCCATATTTGTGAAAATTTCCAATTCGTGGAACACATATACAAACCGATTTCAACTACTCTACGTGTGTGAGCGCACATTTTGGTCCACCCCACATACACTCCGGCTCCTTTGTATACACACAGTGCAAAAGAACATTTATTGTATATGTTCAAAAATATTAATCTCAATTGCGTTCTCTGATTTTTTTACTATAATTATATATAAATTTCTATATGAAGTAATTCTTCAATTATTAAGTCTTAAAGTGTACCTAAAGGAATGATGTTGAGTGTAGCTACACACATACATACATACATACATATGCCTGCCTCAGTTGCCAGATTTTTATTTGATGTTTTCTCGGGCTGTTCGACATGTGAACTTTTAGTCTATTGCAAATACCATGCACACACGCACGCACACACATATACATATGTATATATATAGACATGCGTGTACTTGTGCACGCCTGTGTATCTAAATACATAGGTAGAAATATTCCCCGTACGTAACGTTAAAATCAAGTCAAGCAAAAAAAATCTATTGGAAATGTATACATATACAATTACTGTATATGCACACTTACATACATATTACATACATACATACGTTGTATGCGAGATTTACATATTTCTTCCAGTTTCTTTTATGCTTACACACACACACAGCAGCTTTAGGCTGAGGGTTGTCGAAAATGAAAGTTTAGCTTGAGGGTGGATGTTGAGATACGTAACACACACACACACATACCCACATACCCACATACACAACTTGTTGCTTGCTTTTGCTCTTGAGAGTTTTTATTCAATAACTGTCTATTACAATATGTACTTAGGCAAAGAATAACAAGCAATAAATTCAACACGCTCAAAACACATAAAAAGTAACTTTGTTCCAGTGCTTTTGTGCGCGTGTGTGCGTGTGCGTGTTTGCCTGTACTTATACGTTAGTAAAATTGTAAATGCAACGCTGTGGGAAATTCATAAAGTCCAAACAATTTAAACAAGTACTTTATACAACATGATCGATTGGGTATCGATAGTGCGGCATTCGCGACGACGTTTCTCCAACTATGTCGGCGCGCGGTCGCCGGTGCGAATGCGTCGACGTCGACGCCAGTTGACTGCACCGCCGCCACCGTCACAGCAGCAGCAGCAGCACCAACAACAACAACATCAACAACAGCAACAGCATAAATCTCGTGCACAGGATAAGAAAGCCAAAGAAAAGCAAGAACTTGATGGCGATGGCGACGGCGATGGGAGCAGCAGCATTGGCGGTCGTTACGTTTGCTGTTGTTCAAACGTAAGGCAGTCTTATACTTTTATATATCTTATATTTCACTTATAAGGCAAATATGTGAGTTGCCAAATCCTTCGAACAGTGTTGCCACAATTTAATATGAATTCAAATCACAGCTTTTTAAGTTATCGATAAGCTCTAACGTATTTTCAAATTAATTCGAGCTTAGTTTTGCTTAATTGTCTGATAAAAGGAAAATATGTATAAGATTAAAATCGTTTATGTCTCTCAATATTTTATCTATAATTATGAAGGCCGAAAGTAATCTTTTGAATGATCTTCCTGACCTATTATTGCCAGCAATTAATGCATTTGAAATAGATTTCATATTTCTTATGTGTACTTTGCGGCTCTTCAAGTGTCACTTGAGTATATTCTCGAAATGCCTGTCAAGTCTTAATGTCTTTCATTTATACAAATATTTATCTTTCGCAGAACCAACGCATGCGCATTGAGTCTGATTGCGAGAATGCCAAAGATGCAACCGCCGATGATGCTGCTATTCAACAAGTGCGCAACTCGCGCTCACCCCAGCAGCAACAGCAGCAGCAGCAGGTGGTACAACAGTTGCAGCAACATCAACAGCAACAGCAGCAGCACCTTAACCAATCACAGTCCACGACAGCAGCTAGAAGCGGGACTCAGATAGTAAGTGGCTGCAATTGAATGAATTATGTTTGCTCACTGCCATAGCTAAAGCTAAATCATGTCACATTAATGCTCGAAACGAGGATAATTATGAACAAAAACAGAACTAAAAACAAAAACAAAAACAAAGACGGCCATAAACAGCCAAAGGGCAGAGCCAATGACTCGATATACCAAAACATTCCAAAAAACAAGCCGAAATAAAATAAAAATAATAAAATTAAAGACCGGAAGGCCATAATCGCACCCAAATCGTTTGGCCATAGTTAAGTTCGCTTAATTTGACGCTTTATTTGAACTGAAATAAAATGGCCGCCAATGCCGCTTGTTTCCGTTTCCGCTCAAACTGTTGTTGTAACACAGCCTTCCAGAGTATTTTATTGATTGTAATTGAATCCTAACCAGTGTTTTTACTCTCTTCCTTACTATTATTATTATTGCCAGTTTTAATGTTCATCATAATTTTGTATTAATATATTTGCCCTCTTTTTCATATTCTCACATTTCTCATATTCCTTTTTCACGTACTTTTCATACAAAATTGAGATATATACAATAAAAATTCTTGATTTGTTCACACTTAATATTGATATCATCTATAATTTTGGGCATGTCAATGTTATTATATTGTATTATATTAAGATATGTACGTATGTATTTAATAAGACATTAAAAACGATAATTGATGCAATTTCTCTAATACAAAGTTTTTTTTCTGATTGTTATTATGGTTTGTATGATTATTTTCACTACTATATGTTTATATATTTTTTGTTCTTTTTTATATAATACTGGTGAAAAATGATTATATTTAGAGACCAAATTGTGTATATGATGTCGTTTTTGTCACTTACATATATTTAAAGCACTACAATTGTTATTTAGTTTAATTGTTTACCCATATTTGTAGTTTTTAATGGGTTTCACTTATCCACTAGTTGCTAATGCACAATCTTGGTTTAAATATTTAGTATTTCGCGCCGAGCTTACAATCAACTCTGATCTACGCTCGAACATTATTTGCCAGCACTGGTCACTACGATCGATGGTATCGATAGGTGGGCTTTAAGCTATCGATCTCTAGTCCCGTCTCTAGCGAACTAAGCGCAAGCGTCACTCCCTTGATAAAAATGTAAAAAGTAAACACGTCGCTGCTAACTAATTGTGCGTGTCAATGTGCAATCGTATGTAAACATAAATTTTAATTAGCGTGCATTATTAATCGACAACGCCAATAGTCTAGTGTCAAAAATTCAGGGCGCTGTAAGCTACGAACAATATAGTGTGGTGCTGCCAGCCAATACTGTTGATGTATCAGCGGTAATATAACCGGTTACGCATACCAAAACATCACGACGATAGTTTGTTAGCATGCTAGAGGTGGGCCGGTTTAGTGGGCTCGGCAACAATCGAACGGTCGCGCAGCTCTAGTCAGTCGCTGGCTCGCTAGAAAAATGCCAACAACACAACACGGGAAAAGAAGCAGGCATCGCATAATTGCGGCGTAAACGCATTAAGAAAATATATAAACGGTCTGTGAAAATCAGCGCCAGCAAGCCTATTTCCAAAATCACTGCGAAACGCGAGTAGAAATGTGCGCGTTTTATTTAGAAATATGCTTAAAAGTGACCTGAAAAAAATCAGAACAAAAGCAAAACTTTGTGCATAAAATATTAATGTTTATACATAGATACGTGCCACAAACCATAACAAAGTGTAATCAATGAAAAATTGGCTATTATAAAAGAAGCTAAAACAAGAATAATGTTTTAAAGTTGTGCCTTTAGCTTGCGCTACTTTTTTTACATTCGTCAGAACCGCGTACATATACGCTCACTCATACATGCATACGTACGTATACACGTATGTATGTAGGTTATACACATGCAAGGCATAGCGCAAAAAAATACCAAAATAGTCGGCGGTTGACACAGAGAGTGAGAGCGAGAGAGTAGCGGCTGTTGATTTTTTTTCTTTTTTTTTTTTTTTTGCTATTTGCTCTGGCAAACAATAAATAAATATATGTGTATGTATGTAATTTGGAAAGCATAACTTATACGTGAATGTATATTTGTGTGCGCGGTTAGAAGATTCTCTCACGCTCAGTAACAGAAACAGAACAAACGGTGCCCAGCAAGTTTTTAGCGATAGTTGTAGTTAGAACTCGCTCACGTTGGCAACGCGCCGCTGCTCTGTGTGGTTCTTACATATTTATTAGTTGTTATTATTTACTTATTTATTTATTTTTTTTTTTGCTTTTTTTAAAATTGTTTTTTTGCGTCTTGTGTGGATGACACTTGTTAGTGTCAGCGCTCGTTGTGAGTCACGCGGCGGCCAGAGTGCAAGTAACATACGCTTATGCGTGTATTTGTGGGCGTGTGTACGTGTGTATGCTTATACTTTATATTAAACGCAAAGCTAAAGGGAAATTTATAACATTTTGTTTGCTTAGCACGTAGTGAACGAACGAAACGTTGCAACGTAACAATAATTAACGTAAACGTTTACGCGACTGCGACGTCACTCAACCGGCATTTGTGATTGTGTTACGTTACGTGCAACGTTCATTGCCGTGAGAGAGAGAGTGAGTGAGAGAACGAACGCGTTGTGATAATAATATGACCACACGCAAAAAGAAGCGTCAAGATGGAAGCAGCAGCGGCGGCGGCGGTGGCTTCATTAAGAAAGTCTCATCACTATTCAATTTGGATTCGGTAATGAAAAAGTGCAAACCTCATAAATTAAAAAGAAACACTAAGTATTTGCATGCGATGTAACGAAATAGATCAGATGTTCGATTAATTGATGATCAAGCTTGATATCGATATTGCTAGAGAGTTGCCCTCCTCGGTCCCTGTTCCTCATCTATTTATTTATGCAATATTTTCATTTAACGTCAGCTAACAAAGATTTCGCCTCTTTTTTCTTGTTTTATGTATTCTCGACGATGATTCCATGGTTTATTTTTAAATTCCGCCAGATATTCAAACAGCATAAAAAGTATAGCAACAGCAACAAGAAAATTCTCTAACTGAGTGCGTCTTTGTCATCATTTGTATGTCAAATTTCAGTGAATAAACAAATTGTCTTTACGCATGCGCAACACAATTTCTCCCCGCCACATATATGTATATGTAATTATATATGTATGTGCATATAAGTAGGCAAAGTAGTAGTAAATGGGCGTACAATGTAGAATTTGCAAAAATGACAGCTGCATCTTTCTCTCGCTCTTTCTAACTTCCTCTCTTGCATGCCGCCACGCATAGTGTCACCTACTTAACTGTGCCTGTATGTATGTGTACGGATATATGCATCGGCATGTGCGTGTGCGTGTGTAAACACGACGTCCGTTTACTCATCTAGTCTCTTGCACTCGCACTAACACTCGCTCTCTCCCTCTTTCTCTTGCTAGATCGCACAATTTGCTCAAAATAGAACTCGCTCGTCTTTACATTTAGCGGCTGCCTTGAGCACCACCCAAAAGCAACAGCAAATGCTCAATGGGCTCTCTTAACGGTGTTTGCTTGAATACACATATGTATAAATATTTTTAACTACAGTGTGTGCTAGATATAAGAAACACATCTACTCTAATTTGAGCTTCATTGTCTAAATTTGATTGATAATAAGCGATAATCAGTTTTTTAATAAGTGCTAAATATATATTTAAGTTACTCATTCAAGTTACTCATTCTATGAATATACCAAATGAGCGTAAAATCATGAATCGAGGCACGTCTTCTAATTTGTATACAGTTTGGATATTTGCTGCCTTTTTCGACTGCCAGACAGAAGGACAACAATGTTGATATTGAACCACATTTGGGGGGCAGATTTGATTTGATTTGATTTTTTGCTTTGGTTGCAGGTGTCGATTTATTCAGATATATATATATATATATATATATATATATATATATATATATAGATATATATATATATATATATATATATATATATATATATATATATATATATATATATATATATATATATATATATATATATATATATATATATATATATATATATATATATATATATATATATATATATATATATATATATGGCATTGTTGTCATTATGTGCATGTAGACAAAGACGCACGTGTGTGTGTGTGCGCGCATGCAGTTGGCTCTGCGTCAAATCGTCACAGGTTTCCAATCAGACTAAAAGAGTGAGAGTGCGAGCGGGAGGCAAAAAGAGAGCATAGGACGTATAATCCACACCCAAACATTTCGTACTCATTCGCATTTGGTGGCAATTCATCGAGCCATATTTGGAGCCTATGTGTACATAAATGGATTTGTATGTGTATACTTAGATGTATGGGTATAAGTACACATATGATCAGATTAATAGAAGCAGTAAATGAGTATTATAATAAATAATGCATATTTAAAAAAAAATCATTTATCGAAAAAAAAAATAATAAATAAATAATTTTCATATGTGGAAAATATTTGTTCTATGATTCCCAACTATTTGAAGTCTTTGTCAGCGCAAATAAAAAGCAATGTAAGAAGGAAAAGAAGAAGAGGAGTCTATGAACAGCTTAATCAGTATATAGTATATAGGCAGGCTAGACTGTATGTAGTGTACAACATCTGAAAACTATACGAACTGCTAATTCGAGGTGTAACTTTTTTTTTATTTTTTCTTTGTTGTTTATAGAAGAATATTTACTCATGCTACTTTAGCAAGTGCTGCCTTGTATCTGCCGTTAAATAAATAAACGGTAATTGCCACATTCTGAAACTGGGACTCATACCTGTGAGTGTGTGTGTGAGTGTGGGTGAGGTAACCCAACCCCAACCCCAACCGCAACCCCAACTCGAAAAACAAACCCAAAGCCAAAACCAAAGCATATTTGAAAGCCATATGATTTTCACTGATAAGATAAGGTGCGCTTGGTAGCTGATATGAAGACTATGTTGCCGATGATATATAGTCCAGTTACTATATATAAATATATATACATATACGTATATAAACATAACCACAACAATTGGAAATACCTTTGTGGTTTTTTTTATACTGTTTGGTGAATGAGAAATGCCCGCCAAAGCAATAACCACTGAAACGACCTTCAGTGGAAAAGGCTTAATAAAGTTCCAATTGTTGAATTGTGATGTAATTGCTTACATAAGACACCCCCGCCTTTGCTCGCCTTTAAATTGTGAACTTAATTAAATTGAATTATAAAGCATAGACACACATGAATCTAATCAGTAGGAATTCGGTTAGTTATTGATTGAATTCGATTCAAATAGCAAAAGCAAAACAAAAAGCCAAAAAATCTACATGTCAAATATTTAACATAATGTTAAAGATACTGGCGTTGACAAGGAAAATTGTCTTTTGATGAATATAGCAAAAGTGCATGTTAAGTATTTAACATGAAGTTTACTTTGATGCATGACATACAGGTTACCATTGAGTAAATAGCTTGGCATTCAAGTCTATTAAGATTTTTGATTATAATTACTGAAATAACAAAGTCGAAAAGTAGCACAACTGCTTGTCAGATATTTGACAGGTGATTTAACTACCGTATAAATAGTATGTAAGCTCCCGCTTGGCTAGCTGAGCTGAGCTGAGCTTACTCAACAATTTGATCCAATTTGAAGTTGATCTGCGAATTAGTCACAGCACGTAGCAGGCAGACAGACAGACAGTTGACCTGTTGACCCGGCTTACGTCAAAGGTTAATAAGCAATTTGAATGTTGCGGCAAACGCACGTGAGCGCAGCCAGCTTTGCATTCGAGCTGCAATTACTTACAACTGTCTGCCTCTATCAGTCAGTCAGTCTGGCTCTCTGTCTGTGTGCCTTAATGAACTCATCTACACCCAGCTGCTAATCAATTGAACTCGTTTTTCACGCGTGTGCGTGTGTAGGTGTCTCTATGTGTGTGTGTGTGTGTGTGTGTGTGTGTGTGTGTGTGTGTGTGTGTGTGTGTGTGTGTGTGTGTGTATTGTCATGTTTGTCTCTAAATGTTGCAATTTTCACATGTTCAAAAAATTGTAATTCGTTTATGTAACTTGTAACTTGGCATTCCATTGATGTAGCTGTAAATGCGCATCTTGTGCTGTCGGCGTTCCATACAAAAACGTTGAAACGCACAAAAGTTTCTATAGATTGATTTTTGGGTGGGGCATTCGTTAGTTTACAGAGATACTTACCTGTCGAGTGGGATATTGGATGAGGTGTGTGTGGTGGATCGGATTCCGGTTCCGCTATGTGAATATTAAATTATATTTCAATGCTTCCAATATTGTCTTATATATACACACACATGTATATAAATATATATATATATATATATATATATATATATAATATATATTTATATTAATATTAATACAGTTAACGCTATAAAACTAATTGTACCTGCTATTAACGTGTAGCTCAAGTTCATGCTGCAATTAGTTTATCTATATATATATATATATATTTATACATATTAAAGACGTTACATTTCTGTTGCTCAAGTTTAGGTTGAGCCCATTGAAAATGGGAATTTTTTTATTGATGTGTTTGTGAAAATGTATGAAAGGAGCTGTGGCAGACCCCATAAACTATATTTATTTTCGATCAAGTCAATGAGCCATATCGATCAACTTAAAGTCTTGAAATATTAGATCTATAGGCCTCTATGCCATACACAGTTCGTGCAGCAGATTTTCAATTTACTGTTTAGGTTTCTGAAACTAATACGCACATTTAAAATATTTCCCCGCACTGCCCCTCAGAATCGAGCTGGAATTTTCACGCTCTAAAGCTGAGAATGATTGTAACAGCAGCTCTACGCAGAAGTTAGGGTATCTGCTAGTCGCGCATTCCCAACTAGAGCCGACTTGTTTATCAACTCTCTTATGAATCAGTTCAGCTTTTATCTGTAAGCAAAATGAGTCTCGGCTGGGTTTTCTTAAGAATTTAATGAAAACTAACAACATTTTATTGAACCTAGTCTTAGACCTTCTCAATTAGGAATATGACCTATTTGATAGATTAACTTTTGAAGTGTTTTAAGTTAATTAATGCAACTTACTTTTTAAGCTTAAAGCAAACAGTTCGATATGCAAATGATTTATCTCACAATTTTAAGTTTTTCTCTCGGTCCAATTTGATTTTCAGCTACACAAGGCATCCTCGACGAAGGTAAGCGGCGTTTCGAAATGCACCTTTTAGTGTTTGTCATTTAAAACAATAAAAACAATAATAAAAACGTATATTAAACAACTGGTTTTATCTGTAATTGTATACGTCCTGTGTTTTGTCCACATCCGGTGCGGAAATGCATATATATATAACATAATACCATATATACTACATACTATATATATGTGTATGAATCTGTCTTATCATTTCACTTATAAGTCGTAAATGTAATTTCAATAAATCATGCATGTCAACACACACACGCAAAGCTAAAGATAAATACTTATAACAAATTAATAATCTCTCATCATTGGCTCTCATGAGTGTGCGTCCTTGCAGCAGCAATTTGTATGGCATGAATCGAATATTGATGCGATTGCTAATGCCTTCACTGGTCTCATTTCTCTGCAGGTGAACGGCGATGATAGCTGGTACTATGAGGATATCCAGCTGGAGCGTGGAAACTCTGGCTTGGGCTTCTCGATTGCCGGCGGCACGGACAATCCGCATATTGGCACCGACACATCGATCTATATCACGAAGCTGATACCTGGCGGTGCAGCAGCCGCCGATGGACGCCTGAGCATCAATGACATCATTGTCTCGGTCAATGATGTATCCGTGGTGGATGTGCCGCATGCTTCCGCCGTGGATGCTCTGAAGAAGGCCGGCAATATTGTTAAGCTGCATGTGAAACGGAAACGTGCCACCAGTGCCACAGTACCCACAGCTGATGCACAAGACAGCGTTAGCGCCACGGCGGTGTCCGCATCGGCATCGGCATCGGCTTCGGCCACGGCCGGACCAAAGGTGATCGAAATTGATTTGGTCAAGGGCGGCAAAGGTCTGGGCTTCTCAATTGCCGGCGGCATTGGCAATCAGCATATACCGGGCGACAATGGCATCTATGTGACAAAGCTTATGGATGGCGGCGCCGCCCAAGTGGACGGGCGTCTCTCAATTGGCGACAAGCTGATAGCAGTTCGCACCAATGGCGTAAGCAGCATTAAGAACTAGTTCAATTTTCCATGTTCAATCTAAACTGAATCTCTCTAAATCTCTTCCAAAACAGAGTGAAAAGAATTTGGAGAATGTCACGCATGAACTGGCTGTGGGCACGCTCAAGTCAATCACCGATAAGGCGACACTGATTGTGGGCAAAACGCAGCATTTAACCAGCAGTGTCTCGCAGTCGGGCGGCAGCTTGGGCGGCCAGCTTGGCCAGCAGTCGCAGGCGCAGCATTCGCAATCGCAAACCCAATTGGCAGCCACACGTCAGCAGCAGCAGCAGCAGCAAGTGAACTCGGAATCTGCAGGTGCGCTTAACAATGTTGGGCAGTCAGTTGTTGATTCAGTCACAGATTCAGTCATCAACAACTCCACAATTACCACAACCACTTCCAATACCAACAACATCACCACCACCACCACCATCAACACCTCCACATCCACCACCACCAACAACACCAATTTAGGCTCAAGTAATAGCCATATAGTGCAACATAATATTGCCACAGTCAACAGCAGCAGCAGCAACAACAACAACAATAATAACAACAGCAGCAGCAGCAACAACAGCAGCAGCAGCAGCAGCAACAACAACGGCAACAGCAAAAGCAACAACTACAATAACAACAGCAACTTAGTAGCAGCTAATGCTACAGTTGCTGCAACCACACAACAACCACAAGCACCCGCCTCCGCCTCCGCCTCTGCCTCTGCCTCCGCCCCAGCTTTAGCTTTTAATGCTAAGCTTGCAATGCCAATGGCTGCTGCTGGTGGCACAGAACACAGCCGTTCCCAATCACCCTTGCCAAGGCGTAAGCGAATCATATTTGAACTTCAACTAATCACAACTCTCGATATATTAACAACTCTCTCTACATTTCTAAAAGAGCCGCTAAAAAGTCCTTCTCATCTACTAGCCTACAATATATATGAACACTAATACATTATCCATATCTAAACATATATCTGTAGGTACTATATGCATGTGCATATCTAATAGATACTCATTTAGGCTGGCTAAAACCTGTACAAAAGCGAAAAGCAAAGGCAATTCCTGAATGTAGACTGGGCTCTTTACTAACTGCTAATCTATTGTTGCTATCTCTTAAGCTCTCTGACTAACACTCCTGTATATATACATATATATATATACATAATATATATCTTCGTCTAACTTAGTTGTGATTCAGTTCGATTCTCGAAGCACTCTACGGAGTGCTTGCACGGCTTTTGCTTGCGTGCTTGCTAAGCTGCTCGCTCGTGTTTCAGTGTTGTTCGTTACACAGCAAACATTTTGCAACACTGGCCCAAAACAGTGCTGTACACTCAATCTCTACAAGTCGAAACATTTGACCAAATACTGCAAATGTTTACCCAATCTAACATGGCATTCCTCTTATTTGCATGCATCAATCTATATACTTTTATATATATATATATATAAATATATCTATATATTATGTTTGATCTTTGATCTCTGTCTGTCTTATGTGCTTAGTATAAGATCATCCTTATCAACTTATTACATACATCTAAATGTGTCCTAGGCGACAAAACAAACGAACACTCAACACGATTCTTATGGGTTTTATTTATTTCGTTCTTTCTTTTCTCTGCCTGATTGTTATATGTTTTGAATTTGAGATGAAAAGCATTTGATGTCTTTCCGGCTTTAACTTAACTATTTGTAATACGTTTTATACATAATATGTTAGATTCTTTCGTCGGGAAGTGGCTTATCGATAACATATGTGTTCACGAAATATCGATAAGTCAATCGATAGTAAATTAGATCGTATTGAAAAGTAAATGTCTTAGATTTATTTATGTTCAGGTATCTCGTACTATCAACGATTAATATTTGATTTCTCTTAGCTTTTTTCCCATCCTCTTTCGTTATTCTCTTTCTATGTCTCTCTGTTGTTTGGTTTCTGGTTTCTCAACTTCTTTCTTTTATCAGCTTTTTCTTTCTATTCACACTATGCCACTCGCGAGGGGATCGATCTGATTCCCTTGTCCTGTGGCTGCTATTACAAATCTTTTAAAATATATACGTGAACTCGCGACCTCCACTAATTACCCTTACCCCTCTCTATTTCATGTCTCTATAAATGCACGTGTGTGCATTACTTTGTGTGTATGTGTGTAAACCTTACCGTTACACGCGTTGTGCATTATTATTTTTGATTGAAAAAAAAAAAAAAAAACAAAAAAACAAAAACAATACATAAATTGGAAAACAATTATATGAATATAAATTTATGAAATAAAAATAAAATATAGAGCCTGGCTCAAGATACGCATCGACAAATGTCCTGGCGGCCGTGCCACCGGGCACACCACGCGCTGTCAGCACAGAGGATATAACCAGGTGAGTGGCGCCTCGGCGATAGTGAATTTATCGCATAGAGTCAACAATTCAAATTGCCAATATGTTAACTTGACGTTTGTTTCACTCCCAACAGGGAACCACGCACCATTACCATACAAAAGGGACCGCAAGGTCTGGGCTTCAATATAGTCGGCGGCGAGGATGGACAGGGTATTTATGTATCATTCATATTGGCCGGCGGTCCGGCAGATCTTGGCTCTGAGCTGAAGCGCGGCGATCAGCTGCTCAGTGTGAACAACGTGAATTTGACGCATGCCACACATGAGGAGGCGGCACAGGCACTAAAAGTGAGTTGCAGCTAACAACAATTAACTGCATTAAATATTTATGTACTTAACTCTTTTGCTTAACTGACAGACATCTGGCGGCGTTGTCACTCTGGTTGCACAATATCGTCCGGAGGACTACAATCGCTTTGAGGCACGCATTCAGGAGCTGAAACAACAGGCGGCGCTTAGCGCCGGCGGCTCCGGCACCCTGCTGCGCACCACACAGAAGCGTTCGCTATATGTGCGCGCCCTGTTCGACTATGATCCAAATCGCGATGATGGCCTGCCGTCACGCGGCCTGCCCTTCAAGCACGGCGACATCCTGCACGTGACCAACGCCTCCGACGACGAGTGGTGGCAGGCACGACGTGTGCTCGGCGACAATGAGGACGAACAAATTGGTATTGTGCCATCCAAGCGGCGCTGGGAGCGTAAAATGCGTGCACGTGATCGCAGCGTCAAGTTCCAAGGACATGCGGCAGCTAACAATAATCTAGATAAGGTATAAACAACGAGCGATGCACAACATTGTCCAATTGCAACGAAGTGAAGAGGAAATTTATATAGTAGCCAGTTCGATTTAGCCATGAAGTTAGCCATTTCTATTTAGGCTTTCACATTGCAAAAGTCAACAAATACTGCAGTTGGCTCTGTTAGTTTGTTTAAAAAAAAAAAAACTAGATTCTTAATGAGTTGAGCTGAGTATATATAATGTATTATATAGAGTAAATTCATTTGGAAGACTTATGTGCATAGGACTTAGAAGCGCAGCAAACACAACAGATCTATAAGCTAAAGTTAGAACACCAATTGTATAAAGAACTCTGTCGAGCTTTACTAGAGTTCAGCATACGCTTCGAGGCTTAATGACTTTTGTTGTTATTATTATTGTATTGTTAACTATAATGAATGTAACTACTCCACTGAGTGACATTCTCTCTCTGTCTGTTATTACAGCAATCAACTTTGGATCGCAAAAAGAAGAATTTTACGTTCTCACGCAAGTTCCCTTTCATGAAGAGTCGCGATGAGAAGAACGAAGATGGCAGCGATCAAGAGCGTAAGTAGCATAGCTCCAGGGCGTGGCATACAACCAAACAAAATATCTATCGCAAACGAGATTAACGCGTTAATCCAGCATTACTACAACAACTACTAACAACAACTACAATTACAACTACAACAACATCAACAACAACAATAACAACGACAGCTATAGCATCGACAACAAACTGTTTGAAAAAATCTTGAGCAACAGAGCAACAATTTATTTAGTTAATAATTTGTTAAATGCTCTCTCACTTCCGCTGCTTCGGCCTCGCTCTCGCTCTCTCTCTCTGTCTCTCTATCTATATATCGTTGTGTGCTTCTGTCTCTGTCACACTTTGTTAAGTGCTTTTCGTGCGGCATCTAAGTGTGTGTGTCTTCGGGTTGTCTAATTGTCTAATTACAATAAGTGTGTGTACATCTGTCTCTATCTCTCTCTCTCTCTCTCTCTATCTATCTCTCTCGCTCTCCGTCACTCTCTGTCTCTGTGGCCGTGTGTGCCACCTGCCATTGCTGCTGGAGCATTTTTAAGTTTATATGCTGTATTGTTATACAATTAAAGTTAATGTTTTTCTTTTCGAATATGTTAATTTAGTTTGTAAGCGGAAACGTTGTCTTTTTCTTTTGTCTATCTGTGTCTATTCACATAAGTGTATGTATGTTTCATACTTGTTGTTTTTTGCTTATGTTCAATAAACAATTTATGAATTATGAAATTTAACTGTACTACAAATTGCGTACACACTCACACACAGACACACGCACACACACAGTCCGCTTCAAGCAGCACTCGATCCATTTTTCATCTTTTTAATTTGATCATATTTTCATTCGGCCTGCAGACGAATATATATAATGTATCTATGTATGTTTTTAATATGTTTTTTATGCGTTCGTCTTGTTGAATTTGTGACAATTATTTCATGCATTTTACATTTTATTTTTGTTTATTTTCATATTTGATTGTGTTGTTCCATACACACATACACTTGCGATGGTTCCCTGCGATTCCTTCATTTACAACAACAACAACAACAACTACTACAACTACAACTACAACAACAATAAACACACACGCAACACACAAACATGATCACTGTGATCACATGGACATCTATAACCAATTGTTTCTTGTGTTTTCTCTGTGTGTGTGCGCGTGTGTGTGTGTGAACTATCTGAATATTTGACTCTATGTATACTATAGCGAACGGATTTGTAAACAGCAACAGTGAAATCGATGTTAACAATGTTAATAATAATCAAGCGAATGAGCCCCAGCGTAAGTCTCCCACCCCCGCCCCCCTCTTTCTCTCTCTCTCTCTTTCACCTTCTCTCGCCCGCTCTGTCTCTGTGTGTGTGTTACACACACAAATATATGTGTTTACTTGTTACTTGTTACATATATATCTACATTTTGTGGGTTATCCATCTCAGTTGTTATGTGTGTACATCAGCATATTTACATACATGCATACATATTTATAATATAAGTAATGTACAACCTTTGGCATATGTTTATGTATGTTAATCTTCTACTTCTTACATTGGTTATGATTAAGCATAAGTTTTGCACACGGTTTATGTTTTAGACGGGGTACTTATACCTGTGTCCCAGGAAGTGGGTCTCTCATACACACACACACATACATCCATACATCCATACACCTGTATACGAAAACAGCAAATGTAATTTGAGCTCTACTAACAAAACGCACATACCTTATAGACCTATCTACAATTATATTAAGAGCTAGTCTGAATGTAACCAAATATTTGATTATGTAATCCCAACGTGCTTCAGCGTTCGCCACAGCAACAGCAACAACAACAGCAATAATTCATATCTATGCTCATTACATTAATAAATCTTTATACATCAACGATTAGAACATGTGTATGTATGTGCTGCACTACATACATACGTACATACATCACTTGTACTGCGTGTTCTGGAATAGCTGTTTAACGCTTAACCTGTATTACCTATAGACGCAACAACTGCTGCTCCACAAGCAAAAAGAAACAGGAAATAATACTACATCATCATACTACATCATCATCATTATCAACATCAACTCAATTCGTGCTCTCTCTCTCTCTCTCTCTCTCTCTCGCTCTCTCTTTGTCTGTCTCTTTCTCTACCCTGCCTACATTTCCAAGACACGCAAACTTGTGTCGAAAAAGAATTGAAATCGAAACTATTTATACATCTTTCATTATTACATACATAAAACTATGAAACTATTTACTACTACTCTTACATAATTATCTATATTTTTACTGCTATTCTGTTTTAAACTGACCAAAACGTATATCTTTTTCGATTCTCTTTTGTTTTTCTCTTCATTTTCCAGCTTTTATGCTTTGCTACACACAAGACGATGCCAACGCTGAAGGAGGTATGTACTTGACTATAAACTTGATGCTTAACTAGAAGCAATTACATATAGACAAACACACACACATAAACACACACAACAATTAACACTCAGACACACACACATACTTATCTATATATATATATATTTATGTATATATATATACACTTACAAACTAATTTGATGTTTCATTCAAAGTCATACATCACAACAGTAAACACATATGCATAACTGTATTATTTGTGTATTTACATACATACATACATAAACGATTACATCAAATACACTAACCAACACGTAATGCATACGAAACTCACTCATTTAAAGCATTTGCCGCATCTTTAGCAACTAAATATATAACCATCACATACATACATATATAAATACATCAATACATACTTACATACATACATACACATATTATTTGATTAGATAAGAATAACCAAGTACATTAGTTAATAAATTTTAATTTTCTGTTTGTGTATTTTGATTTGATCATAATTTTATTTTCAATTTTTACAATAACTCTAAGTCCTCTCTTACATAGACCTATGTGCATACATACATCTGGTACATAAATACATTTATACATACATACATATATATAAATATTTCAATACAGATTGAAACACTTTAAAACTTACAGATTGTACAATAATTTACAAAGTTTTGTGCCATAAATATGAAAGAAACTCGATTTGAAATGGCTCAAAAGTCTATCAATTTATCTATCTATATATCTATATATATGTGTATATATATATAGATATATATAATTATCAAGAAAGAACAAGAAACGTTTCTCGAAAGCCAAGTCAGAAAAGGGCTTAAGCAATACTCTATCTCTCTCTCTCTCTCTCTCTTCCTCTGGCTCTGGCTCTGACTCTTTTTCAAATTTCTCTTTTCTCTCGAGATTCGTAAACGTTCGACATGCCTAAGTGCAATTTCTATAACCCATACGAGGTACAATACTATATCAAATACACGCACATACACATGCATCTCCGGCATATGTAAATAATTGATATTTAATTTTGTTTACTCTTCTTCTAACTGTGTACAATACGATGTACTTATATTGTGCATATATACATATATATATATATATGTATATATAACAACTATGCATATATTGTGTATCTATATTAAGCGAAGCGATTCGTATATAAGTTTCGAGACGAACCTACCAAATATCTTAACTAAAGTTAATCGAAATCGAATTCTCTTTTTTTATGTCTTGCATATTTCTATTATTTTGATATGATGTTTCACTTATTGAGGATCGTTGGCCGATGTTCTACGTGCTTACACACACATAAATATATAAATATATATACATATATTTATATGTATATATGTATATATGTGCATGTAGCATATCGGCTAAGCCATATAATATGTTTAATCCAACTAAAATGTTTCTTATGTCTTAATGTTTATTGTTTTTCTCCTATTTTCGAACTCCAATTGAATATGTTGTATACAATAACTGATAAACATTTACATTATATGCTATAAACTACTTGATTCGGGAGTGAATTCAGTTCGCTCCGGATCTATGTTATATATCTTTTAGATCATCATTTCAGATACATATTTCTCCTGGTCTATGAACCAATCAATTTCTGATTTCAGATTCGCAGTTTTTGGTTCTATCTAGAAACACACACACACTCACACACATACATACACATATACGTGTATATAAATATATATTTGTACATAGTTACATTACTGTGCGTGTGTGTGTGTGTGTATGTATTTGTCACTAGTCGTTGTGTCAATTTAAGTTAACTAATAAGTAAGCTTATACTTATTTGGTACTTATATTTACACCTATCTACACACACACACACACCCACACACACACGCACACACACTCTGCAGAACTCGTAATTCTTCATTTAGACATTCTTATTCCGTTTTCCCCTTTTTCTACGTCTTTTTAACTAATTTACATTTTATCCCAAAGAAGAAGAGAATAAATTGAACACGATATCAAATCGTACAATTAAATCAACCTGACTTGAGGTCTTTTTCGATCTTTTGATATATTTGAATCATATTCCCGAACACTCACATTCAGCATTTCCCTTTTTTGGTTTCCTGCAATTCGATTAGCTCAGTTTAGAAAATACATCAGCACGCATATATATATATATATAAATATATATATATATATATGTATATATATATATGTGTGTGTGTCTATTATGTCTGAAAGAAAAACATAACTAGATAGAACTCAATTGGCCTCGGTACTCCGAGAAATTTATACCTTTGTAGACATTAAGTGTACTCTTGCCATATGCAACTCATACAGAGTCTATCTACTACGATATATAACTATCTCCATATAACCCAAAGGGAAATAGCAAAAGTTTTACCAAAAGAATTTCATTCGAATTATGATGGGCATATAAACTAGGTGATATAGTGATCCCTTCAGTCCGATTTCGATATATATTCCAAACAGATAGACATATACTATACATATATATACATGTGCATCTATATATACATATATATTATGCAGATCTTCTATGTATGACAATGGTATAAAGAACGAAATGAAAAAAAAAACATTTACTGGTTGCTTTTTAGGTTTATAAATATTTTTGGTTTCTTCTCACCAAATTCTAGACATGCACACACGCACAACGAACACACACACACACAGAACACACACACACAACAGATTCTCTTAAAGACCGTTTAAATTTTTACAGGTTAATCAAAATATATACAAATGATTAATTTTGTTTATCTTTTTCTTCTTTTTTCTTTAATTAATGATTTCCCTTTGACTTAACCTTTGTGTGTGTGAACTATTTTGAATTTTACGTTCAACAATTACAAAAACAAAAACCGAATTCTGTTTACCAAATGCTCCATCTACTTTCTGCTGCCTACTGCTATTTACGACTCTACTACCTTCCGTCATAAATACTACTATTACTATTACTACTGCTACTGTTACTACTACTACTTCTACTACAATTCCTACTGTCGCTACTTCTACTACTATTACTACTTCTACTACTATTACTACTTCTACTACTATTACTACTTCTACTACTATTACTACTTCTACTACTATTACTACTTCTACTACTATTACTACTTCTACTACTACTACTACTTCTACTGCGACTTCTACTACTGCTGCTACCACTACTTCTACTACTACTACTTCTACTACTGCTACTACTACTACTATTTATGTTAAATTATTTACGATATTGCTTTAATTTCGTTTACGTTTGAAAATTCACATATATTTTATATGTATATCTACCTCAACTTCTATTGTATTGCCACCAAACAAACAAACAAACAAACAAATGCCACCAAACAACAACAACAACAAAAACAATCCAAAAATATTGTCAATACGTTATCCAATTTGTTGTGTTTCACATAACATGAAATATTTCTTTACCATTTTTATTATATATACGAAAATTTTCTTTTAATTGAATCAAACAAACTTTTCAACCGATTGAACCTATTATTACCTATTATGAATACATCAATATATATATATATATATATTTAAATATATATAATTAAAAAAAAAACAATACATATATATTTGCTCGTTCATGTACTGCGACTACAACAACAACTACTACTATACTACTAAATTAATCAACTACTTTTCCCGAACATCACAACCAACCAACCAACCAACCGACCAATCAATCAATCAATCAAACAATATATATATGAATCAATCGTATGCAAATGCGCGCAGGCGAGATTATCTACAGAGTGGAGTTACCCGATATGGAGCAGATAACATTAATCTACTTGGAGAATAATGATGCTGACTATCGTAAGTCGAGCAACTAAGCAACAATTTTTGTAAAAGAACCAAAAACAAACCATACAAATGCAACAACAGCTATAAAGGCCTTAAAATATTACAAGTTCAATTTCAATTCATTAAAGCTTACGTTCTTTATATAAATATATATGAAACAAAAAACAAAAATTAGGTTTAAATTCAGAACAATATCCAGAATATATATATATTTACTTTTGTTCTGTACTTTTTTTTTTTAAATATATATATATTTATTTTTTATTTTCAAACTTTAGTTATCAAAGAAAACGAAACTGCAAGCAAATTTCCTACTTAAATGCCGGTTACTTGGTTAGTTTCCTATCTCTCTCTCTCTCTCTCTCTCTCGCCCTATCTATCGCACACACACACTCTCTATCTCTCTCTGACTATTTTTTTTTCTAAATCCATCACTCATGCTATTCAGCTCAAATCTTTGCAATGGATAAGAATATTTTGTGAATCTTTCATAATACTCAACGAAGGTCTCATTATAGAGTTTTCCTATAGCTAGTATTATTAGCATTTTTCTTCTAAGAACTTCATTTTTGTAGAGGAATCGTTTATTTTAGTATATTACGAATATTCCAAATTTCCATTTCCATTTCAATTTTGTTTTCTCTTCTGTTTATAGTGCTAAGTTTCAAATGATCTAAACTCGAGATTTTCAACTTTTTTCAGTTAGGTTTGAGCAAGACTCAAATATAATTTATTATTTATTAACTTTTTGTCTTATTCAAATTTCATTTTTTCATTTAAAAAATTGAATTTGAGCCTATTTTAAGTTGAACCAAAGCGCTGAAACTGTACCACGTTCTATCGATAACTGCTATCGAGCGTTCGATTAATCAGTGTGTACCCAACAATTGAATTTTTATATACGCTTCAGCTTTGTTGGTCGCGAGTGTATTTGAAGTTTGTTAAACCCCTGCTATAGTTGTAGTTTTATTCCGTAGCTTAGACACGAGTCACGATATTTACGACTTACGATTTAAGATTTACGATCTTAGAGCTTAGTTTCTTAGTTGGGTGCATTAATGCCTGTTCTCTTTTTTATTTTATTTTATTTTTTTCTATATTATATCTCTCTCTTTTTCGCTCTCTCGCCTCCTTCTTTTGTATATTTTCCTATTTCGCTTATTTTCTCTTTATTACGTTCCATTCCGTTAAGTATATTGAGTCGTTTTCTTTCCTTTCTGTTTCTTTCTTTGTATTTGCTTAGTTTCATGCTGTGCTTTATTCATTTCACAAGTTCTGTAGCGATGCAATCGTAAAGCCGAAACTATCCAACACTGATAGATGTATTGTTATTGTCATTGTCATTTATCGTAATCGCTATCGTTATCGTTATCGATATCGTTCCATTGCACGCACATTTTCACAACTTTTGATTCATTTTTGTTGCCACACAACCGGAAGTGAACGAACACCTTTCCAAAACCCACGTTTGCCCCAAAAAGAAAGAAAACTAAATCCCCACGAGAAATCGATAAGTCGATCAATAAATTAATATTAAGATAAAGAGGAGGGATGCTAACGACGAGATACGCAATTAGTTCAATAGTATAATATAATGATGTATTGAAAAATGGATGAATATTGAAAGTTTCTGAAGATATTATAAATAAAAAAGTCTTGTTTGATTTAAGAAGTGTTCTTGATTTATCTACGATTGATTACTCCAGTCTGAAACTACTCATTTCCCCGGGTTACGAAATTTAACAATTCTTGTCACATATCTTTTCTTTTTTTCTCCCCCTTTTCTTTCTATTATTTCCAAATATCGATCAGCGATTTAATTCATCCAATTGGCTTTTGCGTACTTTGTTTACAACAATAATTGGCATAATTTCTTTTAATTTACTAATTAATAGTTATATCTTAACATGAATTGCAAATGAAAACCCATGACATGCTGTTACTGAGTGAGTAAACTACAATTTCCAAACTCCAAATGTGAAAACGAACGAACGAACGAACGAATGATCGATAAACCGATTAAATCAACAAACTAAATGTAAACATATATATACATATATATAATATACAATATATATAATATATATATATTTAAAGTTAGTCAACTACTGTTTCCCTAGGCTAATTATATATGCATATATGTATGTGTATATAGCATAGTTATAGCAACTAAGTTAAGTTATAAACGAATTGCTACTAATCTCTCATATAAATCGTCATTCGTAGTACATATCACATAGATCAATTGTTGTTTGTATTGCACTAACATCTTATTATGATTATTATGATTAAGTTTTAGTTATTATTTGTGTATGAGTATTATGTGTTATGTGTATGCATTAGTCTTGTGCACTTATACCACTAACTATATATATGATAATCTCTAGCTAAATCTGAGTACTGAATGCCTCAGATTTGGGGTAATTATGTTTAGTGTATTTGTTGCTAGTCTGGACAGCACTCTTCTAACTGTAACTTTGAATATAACACAACCAACATGTATATATATATATATATATGTGTGATATATATATCTATGATTTAGTTTAATTGAAAGAACATTTATTAAGTTTTTGCTTTTTTCTCCTCTTATTTTTTTATTACAATAATTTTGAAACATTTTTGCGCCCAATTTCCTCACTCTTTAGACCTATTGTCAAGCAAATAAATATTTGGTATTTTCGTAGAATGTTTTCATACTTTTATTTTTGATTTACATATAAATTGTATCTTTGTTCTGGTTCGGTATACTAAAATCTTTGGAGACCCTAAACCTAATTAGACAAAAAAATTTAATTTTACTAATTAAAATGCTTTACAACAATCTAATCAGGACAAAAAAAAAAGAAAACAAATGAAAAAGTTTAATAATATTATTAATATAAATTTGTAATTATTTCTGCGCTATATATCTCTCTTGATATCGTCTCCTTTTTGATTATTATTTAAATTTGTATGCCTATATTCTACGCTATTCCAAATTGAAAACCTTAACCGTAAACCCAATGCGATGATGTTTAATTTCTTCTGTAAAGAGAACCAAAACTCTACTGACCTCAAACTCTCCCAATTCTAATATCCCCCGCCCGAGGACCTCTATTCCATTCATTCTGTACATTTTGTTTTTGCACGCGCACAAAACCTAATACCAATGCCTACTATGCTTACAGCTTCCGAGGAGAACGTGCTGTCCTATGAGGCCGTGCAGCGTTTGTCCATTAGCTATACGCGACCCGTTATAATACTGGGACCGCTTAAGGATCGTATCAATGACGATTTGATATCTGAATACCCGGACAAGTTCGGCTCATGTGTGCCACGTGAGTGTCTAAGATTTGAATCTGAATTTTGACTTTTGTTGTTTATATAAACTCTTTCTACATCATCAGATACCACACGGCCGAAACGCGAATATGAGGTGGATGGACGGGACTATCATTTCGTCTCGTCACGCGAACAAATGGAGCGCGATATACAGAATCATCTGTTTATCGAGGCTGGCCAATACAATGACAATCTGTATGGCACTTCGGTGGCCAGCGTCCGCGAGGTGGCCGAGCGGGGCAAACATTGCATATTGGATGTATCGGGCAATGCAATCAAGCGCCTGCAAGTGGCGCAACTCTATCCGGTTGCCGTGTTCATAAAGCCCAAGTCTGTTGACTCGGTGATGTGAGTGTCTGCAACAGATCTCATCGCATTGTGTGCTTATATAATAGAAATATTTGTGGTTATTGCAGGGAAATGAATCGTCGCATGACCGAGGAGCAGGCAAAGAAAACATATGAGCGCGCCATTAAGATGGAGCAAGAATTCGGCGAATACTTTACGGGTGTGTAACTTGTAGACTTCAATTAAAATATCAATAGAACTATTTATATACTCATATATCCGATTGCAGGCGTTGTACAAGGCGATACGATCGAGGAAATATATAGCAAAGTGAAATCAATGATTTGGTCGCAATCGGGACCAACCATTTGGGTACCATCGAAGGAATCTCTATGACCAACAGCCACAACAACATGGACACTGCCGCCTCGAGTACGTTGTCGACCTGTCTCGAGAACAACAACAACAACAGCAACAACAACAACAACATCAGCAACAGCAGCAGCAACAAATCAGCCGCAACAAAAAACGTCACATTGATGCACCAACGCAACGACCACGATGACTAAGACGACGACGATGACAACACCAACAGCAACACCAACAACAGCAGCAACAACAACAACAAGACGCAGCAGTCAGCCCAATGTTGTTCATGTTTAGAATTGTTATTGTTTTTAGATAAACAAATAACAAGAAATAACATTTGCCGGCGCCAGTTAAATGAGGGCCAAAGCAAAACGATATCAGGCAAATAAGCATTGCTCTTAGCCATGTTTGTTTGTCGTTGATTCTTGGTTCTTAGCTCTGAAAACGAAAAAGAAGAAAAAAAAACAAAATGATGAAGCGGCAGCTGTTTAGTTTAAGTTAGAACAAAATTGATAAAAAGAAGAAGAAAAACACAAACCGAAGCATATTAATCATAGGATCTACATACTATGAAGCAGTTGTAGATGATGATGATAATGATGATGACGATGAAGATGATAAGGAGAAGGAGAGTACGTTCGTTAAGCGCTAGTGTTGTTTGTTTATGTTGATGTTTATACGAGAGTTATAGCGAGTTAGTTATATTGACGCTAATATAATATATGGTATATTATTATATACACTTGCATACGTTTGATATGCATATACATATGTGGCTATATGTATATACATATATGTATAATAGGTATATGAATCATTAAGTGCGACCAGCGTCAAACATACTACATACGTTGAATGATAGCAATTGAAGTGGAATCAGTTGGCGAATACGACTATATATATATATATAGGTATATATGGGTAATTAGACGTTGACGACGACGACGATAAGTTGGTGCATTTCTTGTTAGATGTATTGTATTTTTTCCCCCCACGCGCCTTTGCCTAATGCAACACAAATCACACGATACGTTGCATATATACAAAATAGTTTATGCACACACACACACACACATTTACACTTAAACATGTATGTACACAAATACCATGTAGCCTAACTAAAGAAAAGCGTCAGCAACGAGCTATATATATATATATATATATACATATAAAATATATATATATAAATGAATATATAGAGCGGGAGAGAGGGCAATATCACTTCTTTCAATGCAAAAAGTCATTTAACTATTTAACAAACACCATATGTTAGGCAGCATTATCAAATTGTGAAAGCGATCAATACAACATATACACCCATATATAATATATATATAAATATATATATATATAAATATATATATATAAATATATATATGTATATATATATATATATATATACCGATACGGTATAATTTTACAATTGAAGATGCAACAATACCTAAATACCTGGCTGGTCTTCAACAAATATATATATACATATATATATATATATATATATATAACTTTTTTTTTATTGACAGCAAATGATTAGCAAATGTTCAACAAAGAGAGATGCAAACAAACAAACAAATTTATAATTTATAGACAACGCACATAACTGCTAATTATCAATTATATATATATATATTTTTTTCTAATTTTCTATATTTTTTTTCTAAGAAATTTAGTAAAATTCAAGTTATTCAAGTTAAATATTATGGTTTTTTTTTATGTTTCAAGTGTGTGTCGCCAACTTTCCAGAATATTTAGAAATCAAGAGAAATGTATACGTTGTGCATTTATGTACATAGCTATATGTCTATATATATATATATATATATATGTATATATATATATATATATATATGCTTATATATATGTATGTATTTATATATATGGAAAGAGGGCAACTATTTGCATATTATTATTAATACTATTATTATTATTTTTTTTACTTTCGTCTCTGTCCCTTATTTTGTAATATCAATATTTTGTAAATTATGAACACTTCGAGCGCTGCTTTGTAAACATTGAACAGTATCTATGTACGTGCAGGCAATGCATATAAAATTCGATCTTTCGTTCTTTCACATTGTACGCAGAATGCATTGTTGTATTTAATAAACCAACCTAAGCGAATTATATTAATTTAAATCTAAAAGAAAAACAAACACAAAATACAAAAGCAGTAAATGTAATAAAAATAAACTACAAAAAAAAGAAGAAAACAATTTCAGCAAAAGCGTAAAAAGTTTTTAATACATTTTCCTCATTTCAAGTGAACTAAAACAAAATGAAAAACATGAGAAAAGCGGATGTGTGAAATAGTTTAATAATAATCAAATGATGATTTTGTAAAATTGTTGAAACACACAAACACCCACACACACAGATAAAGATAATTTTTTGTGAATATATATACATATATATATATATATATATATACCCGATCAAGCCACGACTGCGAAAATGTTAATGATGTGAGAGAATGAGAAATCGAGACAGAAACTCGATATATGGCACAGATATTGACGAATCTTATGGCGAACATGGGCTGCAATTAGTATATAAGATAGCCAAACAAAGAAACCAAAAAACCAAGAAATGTTATAAGCCTTAATCAAATTGGCACTCCCCCCTAACCGATGGGCACTAGGACTAGGACTCTGTGTGTCTCTGGGATAGCCGATTCGATTAAACTTAACCTATAGTATACCCAGATATGTCTATATACATGTGTGCATGGTATATATATGCATATAGATACACTTACTTTGATTACGATTAGTGCAAGGAAGACTCCACTCTCTTTAGTGTGTACATATTGTACGGCATTTTTGTCCTTCAATCGATGTAACGTATTTACATCACTTTATTCTGCCTATCGAACAGACACCCGCCTTGCAATCTCTTTAGTGAAGTATGTTACGTCGCGCCTGCGTAAGCTAAATTAAACGGAAAGCAATCTAAAGTACATGAAACCTGATCGAAGCGAATGTATGCAAATTACAGCAAAATTTTTTGCGAAAATAATTGGCAAATTTTATGCATGTTCAAAATAGTTGATAGTCGAAATAGCGGAGTATTTAGCCTATAAGTGTGCTATACAAAATGAAGTGAATAGATTTAAACACATACTGTATGTATGTTAAGGAAGAAGAAGACGACGGTGAAGAAGAAGAAGAAGAAGAAGATGAATACGATGTTCACATACTTATGGGGTTTTAAGCCCAACATTGCGGTAAGCGTTCTTTTCTATTAGAACATTTTTAGTGTATTTCAAAGTCAAGGTAACTGTTCCAAAGCCTTAAATGCAATTAATTAAAGCATTTACGAGTATATCCAAGTTACACACACACACACATACACACACACACAAATTCATTCAGCTATATATATATCTATGTGAAATGCCCCTTTTGAAAAACAAAAAAAATTCCAAATGACAATTTTTGATGTAGCCTTAGAAAGTATATGCAAGAATTTACATAAATGAAAAGAAAACGAAAAGAAAAGAAAACAGAAATTTATTAAATACAATTAATAATACCAAAAAAAAACACACACATTAAGTACATATACATATACATGTACATATTATATATATATGTATTAGTGCTAATACTGAAAGGCATTTAACGATCCATTGTTCAAAAAAAGAAAGAAAAGAAAAGATTTATCGTAAATTTTGTCAGCGTATACTTAATAATTATTGTGGAAGCATTTCATCAAAATGGTGCCTTTATCAGTTATTGTTGTCGGTATTAAACAAAAGAAAGTAAAACCCAAAAAGAAACAAAACAAAAAAATAACAGAAAATACAAAGCTAAAAGAATGAATTACATAAATTTATATAGTTAAGTATTATTATTAATCCATATTGCAGCACGAGCTATTTATAGTAAATGAAAATGAAATTCAAATGAAAATCTGCAGTTGCGGGCTGTGATTTCTGCTCGAACACACACGCACACACACACACACACAGACACACACGTATTTATAAATGCATACATAGATACTTATTAAATGTCAGCCTAAACAGTTCGGTTCAAATCTATTGCAAGTCGTGCGACTGCAGTTGAAGCCATGCCCCAATTCGTGTCCCCAAACTCACACTAACATAATTAGCAATTTATTTAAAGCTACTGACATATATACATACACATACACATATGTCAATATCAAGAATTTATAGCTATATTTATATATATATATAATTGCTATCATCAAGACATTTGTTGTTATTGTTACAGTTTTCACTTAAGACATAAAAAACAAGCAAACAAAATAGCATAAAGTGTATTCAAGTTCAACTTATTCGATTGCCTTTTCAATTTGAATTACATGTTCCCAGTTAGCGAATAAGTACACACGCACACACACACACACACATGTAAATTGCAATGCTGACACATTGTAACTGTAATGAATCGTTACACAAGCAGCTGAAAGCTGATCAAACCCAAATTCCAATTGACAATCCAATTGGAATCCAATCTGAGGGCGAAGACAACCGAGCTGTGCTAACTGTTATTATTATTGCTTTTCCTTAAAATTTTATTTAGATTTAGGTATGCGATAGCTATTTTACCAATTTATTAGAAAAGTCCTTCGAATTGGTTTCCTCAATGCTAACGTTCTTATAAGCCACAGCTTTGTTATATATAGTTAACTCCAATTCTTATACGATTTTCCTCTGCGGTTGCTGAAACAGTTGCAACAATGAATATATATATATATATATATATATAGTATGTGTACAGAGGCATTCAAGTGCTGTACGGATTAACGAATACAGTCTAACAATTCGCGGTCGTGGCACAAATACAAATGCACTTATGTACATGCCCATACACACACATACACACATAGACACACACACACACACATTTACACATTCACGTTTGTATTTATAAATATATACATAGATATTCATATACGTGTGTATGCATGTTACAGTTAATATTGAAGAAAAATCCACACCCACACCCACAGCCACACCCACTCACACCCACACACACACACACAAATTAGTTGTATAACAAATAATTCAATTTGTGAATTCTACATGATGTATTATTTAAAAGTTCATCAAAACGATGCAACATTCGTAATAAACAAGAAATTCAATACGTAAGCAATGTCTCTATCTAAACGGACTCCAATTGGATAATCCATTGAGCAACGTTTGGTTCCAATTGGAAAGTACCTTGCGCTGGGCAAATGTATTTTAATATAGATTTTAGCTAGGCCCAATCGAATATTGAAGTAGTGCGTGCATTGATATGATCTAATTAGTCTAATTGGAGTGTGGAGTCGGAGTGGGAGGGGGTGGCTGTGTCATTTGATATGCTGACAGCTAGCCTAGCTGGCCCTGCGCAGATAAATATCGAATTGGACGAGCGTAATGAAATAGGAGAAGGCTGTCACGGAAATTAGATAAATGAGGCGACGATCCAGATGCACCAGGCCGCAGAGCATCGGCTGTCGAGAGTGCATCAGCAGCAGCGAGAACTGTTCCAGCTGCAAGATAATTGACAATTTGTTAGCTAACTCACAGCCAATTGGATTCGGCTTAGTTTAGTTGGATCACCTCTTGGTTCAGGCTCGGCGGCTGCAGCGCCGGAGATTCGCTGAACTGGCGAATTGTGAGGGCCAGACGCGTCCGTTCCACTTTGATATACTCGCTAACCAGCGACACCAGATACGTGTCCAGATAGAAGCCCAGCGCATAGACGCCGCTCACCACGACCGGAAAGGAGGCGATGGCGCGCGAGCTCGTGGCCAACAGATTGAAGATGGTAAACAGGTTGGTCAGATTGTTGATCAGCGTGGTCAGCATCAGGCCCAGCAGCTGCAGCTGATGCATGCGAAAGCTGTCCACGTACAGAGCGTGTATGGCGGCGAAACGTTCGCGCAGCACGCCAATCCGGTCGCACAGCCGACTGCAACAGAGCATCAGCATGCCACGGCGCAGCGGATGAGGATGAGCATAGAGGTCCAATCGCCTCAATTGTCCCAGCTCGGCGCGCAGCTGAACGTGCAGCAGGCGAAAGTACATCAGGACACTGCTGTTCATATAGTAGAAGTAGTCAGCCATGTTCTCCGTATAGTTCCACAGGACGAACGAGTAGATGGCGAACTGTATGCGCAGCCGACTGCTGCCATTGGAATCTGTGTCGATGCCGGCAACTGCCAGTATGCCGCACACCTGGACAACCATCATGATGTTAATCAGCCCAAACTTGAGGTACATGAACAGCTCGAAGCTGCGCTTGGGCCGACTGGGGCCACGGCAGCTGGCGGCAAAGGCCGCCTGCAGGTGGGCGCGCTGCAACGAGCAGTGCTGATTGATGGCCTCGAAGTGGAACGTGTTCGCCATGTAGGTGACAATTACCGTGGCGTACTTGATGAGCGTGTTGGCAAAGCCCACGTACAGCACCAGCTGCATGCGGCGGTCATCTGTGGCCGTCAGTTCGCGGTAATTGTAGCCGAAGTAGCCGGGCAGGACGACAATCAGCAGGAGGCTAAGCACGTGGCTATAAGCGATGAGCAGCGACTTTAGCGGTGCCCGCATCGGTCGCTGCGGCACGTAGTCTATGATCACCTGTCCGTAGATGTTCGCATAGATGTGCCCATATCTGTAGAACTTCAACTCGTGCCGCTCCCAGAAACTTTGCGCCTCGCACATGCCGCACGCTCAGCCAGTCGCAGCCACACTGAACGCGAGGGCAACTCATTTGTGTCTGTGGCACAGCGTTGGGCGCGTGTGTGGCACATGTCGCCAATACAGTTAGCAGTTGAACCAACGACAGATGCTTATCTTAAATGTGAACACGGCCAATACTCGAACTTATCGATTTGATATCTCTTTTATTTTACGATATTCATCCAAGCGAACGAACTGTGCTCTGTGTCTAATAAGTGTCTAATTAATTCATAGTCATATCTCATATGAGTTTCAGTTGTTGTGCAAGTGCGTGCAAATAGCAGAAGCAGGCGTGCCAGAGGCCATGTTCTTGAACAGGATGACGAGCTGCGCTGAGCTAACCAGATCCATATGTCTGCTTGTCCGGACAGATGGACCGTCTATTTGTCTGTCCGTCTGTATGTCTCTTGCCTGTCTGACTGCCTAGCGTTCTGTCCATCTGTCTGTCCTTCTCCCTCTTTGTTCATATCTCCGTCTCTTTGTCTGTCCGACCGTCCCTCCGTCCTTCCTTCCTTTCGTCCGCTCGTCTGCCCGTCTGTCTATCATCTATCCGTCTGTCCTGTGCCCATATATCTGATCTTCTGTTTGTTTGTTTGTTTTTATATCTGTCTGTTCGCCCTTCAGCCCGTCCGTCCGTCTCTGCTTCAGTCCGTTCGTCCTCCCATCCGTCCGTTCGTCTGTCAGTCCGTCCGAACTTCCGGTTATCTGTGTGTCCGTTCGTCAGTCTGTTTAACCATTTATCTGTCCTTGTATCTGTTTGTTCTTATATCCGTCCGACTATCTGTCCACCCATCTTTCCATACGTCCTTTCGTCCGTCTTTCCGAACTTCCGGCCGTCAGTCCGTCTGTCCATCCGTCAGTCCTTCCGTCTTGCCTTCCTTTCGCCTGTTTCTTCCTTCTTTCCTTCTATCTGTAGCTATGCGTAGCTCACTCCATTTGCCCGTGTTCAATATTTGAAGTTGCTCAAAGCTAAGCTCTGATGAATATTTATTCTATAATAAAGGGGCCTAGGAGCCTGCCTAGGACTGAAAGGATTTGGCCAGCGCAATAATGGAACCAGATGTCTGCAGTATCTGAAAGCGTAAAGAATCATGATGACAGCTGCATCTAGAGCGGAAGGAGGTACGCACTGCGGTAAAGGTGACCAGGGAGGGCGAGAAGAACGGCACGTCCATTGTGAGAGCGCGCTGCGAGCGCATGATGAACAGATGTATGTAGAGGCGATGCTTGGGCGAGCACTGATACCAGGGACAGGTGCCCATGACGCTGGCCAGGTGAACGCTCTGCAAGTAGAAGAAGATACAAAATGACAAGCAAAGCCGCTAGGCCAATACCAATTGACTAAGCACTAACACTCTCGGTGACCAGAGTGCCGCCGTAGCAGTAGATGAGCAGCTGGCTGAGGGCGGCCACAGTGTAGCCCACGTAGAGCAAGATGGCCAGGCCGCCGTCGCCGACGGTCAGCAGATCGAAGATGCTGAAGCCGATCACCAAGCTGGCTGAGACGAAGTGGGCCAACGTGATGATCGCATAGCGTTGCCTGAAGAAGTGCGTCAGCTCGAAGATCTCATTCTGGCGCTTGATCAGCTTCACAAAACCCGACTCGAAGACTGCGCCACTGAAGCCGTTTATCTGCAACAGATCTAAAGGACGATGACTGAGAGCGCGCAAGGATGCTGCCTTCACTTACATCTGTAGGGTCGAAAGAGCGTGCGAATGTCCGACTGCAGGAAATTTAAGAGCGTGGCGATGTTCACGCAGAACTCAAAGTAGAAGGCGTCACAGCCCCCGAACATGAAGATGGTCACGTAACCCGTGTAGGCAATGAACACGTAGGTGAGCGGAAAGTACGGAGCATTGAAGAGCCAACTGGGCATGCTGCAAGATAGAGCTCAGGAGTGTCTCAGCTGATCTGTGACCGTGGCCAACTCACGTCATGTTGAAGGGCGTGCTCCAGATAATTTCATCGGCGCGTCCCTTCAGGTGGAGCAGCAGGACAATCAGCAGCGGCTTCAGATTGTACATGGTGCAGGTGAAGAAGCCAGCGGAGAGAGCCCAAAAGTTGAAGCGACATGTCATTAGGAAATGATGTTGCATCACCTGCTCCTTAGCCGGGCCCTGGCCGCCGACGGGGAACAGCATCGCGCGCTGCTTGTTCAGCACGTAGAGCAGGTCCTTACGATAGCGCAGCATGAAGAACATTTTCAGCAGGGTGACCGCCGAGGTGCCGGCCGGACAGAATGTCTCCAAGGCGAGTGTTATCTCGCCCAGGCGCGCAAACCGAAAGCCGGCATGCAGCTCGGTGGCCACGCCAATGGCCAGCACCACAAAGTTGACGAATGCCCGCCGATGCAGCTGCTCGGGCCAGTAGCCCATGATGTGCAAGCACAGGCGCGGCACGGCGTAGAAGTACACGGCCAGCGGCTGATTGCCGTTCAGGAATCGGAAGCGAAGACCAACAGCCATGTCTGCAGTGTGTCTGCTGTCTGGGCCAGGGCTTTGCCTTTTATAGACCCATTGGCCACTTGGCCAATTGCTAATTGGTCTGTTTTTCAAGCAATTAGATAACTTTGGCGCTCAACTTTCAACGTCCAACTTTTGGCACAGCGATAGATAATGTGTCCCAGCCGGCGCTGTCCAATCAGTCCAACTTAAATATTCCTCCATAACTCATCCATATATTTAGTCTATTCATAGAGCAATTGGTCTAAGCCAGGTGCCATTGACTGGGGCAAATTATATGGCTCCCCTTTTAGTACGCACTTCATTTCATGCTAATGTAAACTTGGCTTTTTTGGAATTAGAAGCCAAAGGCATTGCCATGCACTTACCTTAAACTTAACTGGGCAATTACGAGTTTTCCCTAACTATCTAAAATCTTGGTCTTACTCAAGAGTTTTACTTTGAGGACATTCATAAATAAATAAATATTTTTATAAGCAGAACTGCACGCTTTCCACTCATTTTCCACGCTCTTAGGTGAATTAATACTTTGCATTAAAATTACAAACAGGTGAAAATCTAATTCAATAGTTCTTAAGGCTTTATATTTGAGCAAACAAAATTTATGTGAGGCATACTTTAAGGCATTTCACACCAACAAAGTTAGTCATAGAAGAAAAACTTGGACTGTGTAACCTGTATATAAGAGTGAGAGAGAGAGAGTGAGAGGAAGACATTTAAGGCTACCTTCCAAAACAATTTTAATCTGAGTTTATTAGCAAATCACAGCTTACAACTTTTTTTTTGTTTTTTTTTTTTTAACTGACTTTTCTTGATTCTTTTATCCCGCTTTTAGGGTGCCCGAACGAGTCGGAGGTGCCAGATTCTCAGTGAGCCAATTGATGCGCTACCTGAACTCGACGTGCTTAATCCTATTGGCTGTTTCAAGCATTCAACGTTGTCCTCTCCGTCGCAGTCTTCGTCTTCAGATCGACTTTCTGAACATCGATGGGCATCGAATGTGACTCATCATCATATTCTTCCAGGTGTTATTCGAGCACGAAATGTGCGACAATCCAAATAGCAGCAACGCAGAGAAAAAGTTACGTAAACAATGAACTAGAAAATTGGCCAGCTACAGCTTTGATGGGCTCGACTTTTGCTTTCGCTGGATTGTTCAGAATTATTGCAGTATTTTTGCAAATTGAATCAACGCTAATTGGCTGCTCAGAAATTGTTCTATTTTGCAGTTATTACTAAATCGCAGCTAGCTGGGGAGCTGGCTTTGGCACTGGCACTGAAACTAGCACCTGACCGCAACGCTTGCAGCAGCAGCAGCAGCAGCAGCAACAACAACACTGTGAACACTCACACGCAATCCAATTAGAACAAATTGAGGCAAGCCGTGGAGTCAATTGAGTACGTCGCATGATGGTGACTGGCATTGTTTCAAGTGGAGGACTGTCAACTGATGCTGCTGCTGCTGCTGCTGCTGCAACACCAGCAGCACATCACGAGATCAAGCCTTCTTTTCTATGTTTTATATATCTATATAGACTATTTGCGCCCTTGACTGAGTCGTCATTATTATTATTATTGCTGATGGTTAAATTCTGGCTGCGGCATGGGTAATGCTTGTTGGGTGCTGTCGCCGCACTGCACATGACCATTAGATAAGTTTATTATAGAATAAATACGCGCTGTGCCCACTCATAAAGAAGTTAAGCAATTTCAGCTCTTTAAAGCGTAAATTGTTTAATAGAGTTTGACGCGACAATTGGCGGAGGGCTCATATAAAAGTGTCGCCTGTTATGCAAGAGGGGGGTGGGGGGAGGTGTTGAGGGAGACAGAGACAGAGATAGAGATAGAGATAGAGATAGAGATAGAGATAGAGATAGAGATAGAGATAGAGATAGAGATTAGAGATAGAGATAGGATAGAGATAGAGATAGAGATAGATGATAGAGATAGAGATAGAGATAGAGATAGAGATTAGAGAAGAGATAGAGATAGAGTAGAGATAGAGATAGAGATAGAGATAGAGATAGAGTAAGATAGAGATAGAGGATAGAGATAGAGATAGAGATAGAGGATAGAGATAGAGAGATAGAGATAGAGATAGAGATAGAGATAGAGGATAGAGATAGAGATAGAGATAGAGATAGGATAGAGATAGAGATAGAGATAGAGATAGAGATAGAGATAGAGTAGAGATAGGATGAGATAGAGATAGAGATAGAGATAGAGATAGATAGCGAAGAGATAGAGATAGAGATAGAGATAGAGATAGAGATAGAGATAGAGATAGAGATAGAGATAGAGATAGAGATAGAGATAGAGATAGAGATAGAGATAGAGATAGAGATAGAGATAGAGATAGAGATAGAGCTCGCGCTCGCGCTCGCGCCTCGCGCTCGCGCTCGCGCTCGCGCCTCGCTCTCGCGCTCGCGCTCGCAGCTCGCTCGCGCTCGCGCTCGCGCTCCGCTCGCGCTCCGCTCGCGCTCGCGCTCGCGCTCGCGCATCGCGCTCGCGCTCGCGCTCGCGCTCGCGCTCGCGCTCGCGCTCGCGCTCGCGCTCGCGCTCGCGCTCGCGCTCGCGCTCGCGCTCGCGCTCGCGCTCGCGCTCGCGCTCGCGCTCGCGCTCGCGCTCGCGCTCGCGCTCGCGCTCGCGCTCAGCGCTCGCGCTCGCGCTCGCAGCTCGCGCTCGCGCTCCTCGCGCTCGCGCTCGCGAGCTCGCGCTCGCGCTCGCGCTCGCGCTCGCGCTCGCGCTCGCGCTCGCGCTCGCGCTCGCGCTCGCGCTCGCGCTCGCGCTCGCGCTCGCGCTCGCGCTCGCGCTCGCGCTCGAGCTCGCGATAGAGATAGAGATAGAGATAGAGATAGAGATAGAGATAGAGATAGAGATAGAGATAGAGATAGAGATAGAGATAGAGATAGAGATAGAGATAGAGATAGAGATAGAGATAGAGATAGAGATAGAGATAGAGATAGAGATAGAGATAGAGATAGAGATAGAGATAGAGATAGAGATAGAGATAGAGATAGAGATAGAGATAGAGATAGAGATAGAGATAGAGATAGAGATAGAGATAGAGATAGAGATAGAGATAGAGATAGAGATAGAGATAGAGATAGAGATAGAGATAGAGATAGAGATAGAGATAGAGATAGAGATAGAGATAGAGATAGAGATAGAGATAGAGATAGAGATAGAGATAGAGATAGAGATAGAGATAGAGATAGATACAAAGAGAGCATGCATAGATGGTTCATAAGTTCATATATATATATATATATATATATATATATATAACTGTGATATTTGCATGTTATATAAACATTCTAAGCAATTCATAGGATCGTTCAAGTTTTTCCCACTTGAGGTCTGTTCTGTCAAGCATATCTTTCAGTCGAATCTTTGTAGTAACACAGCACCAACTATTTTTAACTCGCTTTAGTTCCAGACACTGCTTCGCTATTTAGTTATAGACGTAAGACTACGAGTGCCCAGATAAGCCCGTAACAAGTTCAAAGAGTCGTTTTTTATGTGCCTGATAGCAGAAGCAAAGTCAAAGTTTCTGCGTAAGTTCGTGTGCCAAAAGACATACATAAACATATATATATATTGGTCTAATTTCGGCAAATGTATATATATATACATATATCAATTGTGGTTGTTATATAATTAGCGGAAAATACGCATTCGCTGATCATTGTCGCGCGCATGCGACTGGCCCCAGCCGTAAATTGCCATTTGATGAATAACAATTAAGCAGGCATTAATAATTAGAACACTTTGTTTTTATTATTTGCGATCTTAATTGCTGTGCGTCGAAAAAGGCTGAATAAGAAGAAGAAACAAAAAGCGAGTGCCGTCGACATAATCGTAAATCATGTATTTGACACTCATAAAGGCCCACTGCGCCAGACCTCTTCAGATTGCCTCCCCCAATTACTCATACGCCGCGTGGGATCGCGTCTACCTCAGCCTCTGCCTTCACCTAAATAAGCCAAATGCTGGTGCGCGACCTTATCAGCCAGCCACCTTATCGAGTGGCCACCAGCACCGATCCACAAGGTGAGCTATCGGGAACACTTTGTGCAGAAGAATCGCCATTTGGTATGCAGCCAGTGCTAAACGCTATCGGCGATCAAAGTTTGCGGCCGTGTTTATGGCCCACGCCACAGACGAGCGTCAGCGGCTCACACGGCGCATTTGCGCTGAGGCCCAAAAGACTCGCCAAACACCTCGTAAAAATTGCGAGACAAAAATGCCGATGGACGCATGCGCGATTCACGTGAACCGTTCAACGATCAACTGTAACGTGAGACGTTGAGCGTGGAGCAAGGAACGAAAAGTGTGAAGCGGGTAGTGAGCGCCGGCCGACGGCCGACGGCCGACGGGTAACGGCCGATGGGTAACGGCCAACGGGTAACGGGGAACGGGGAACGAGGAACGGGGAACGAGGAACGAGGAACGGGAAACGAGCAACAACTGGCGGCGGCCGGCAATCGATCAATAGAAAAATAATTTACACTTGTTGTCTCTTTCTAACTGCACTGCGAGAAAAATGTGTTATAATTACCAAGCAATTGTTACATTATTTATATATATAATTATTTGAAATATTGCTTAACAAAGTTTTCACTTCTTTTCGATTTTTTTGCAATTTATTTTGTTAATTTTTCTTGTTAATCGATAACTTGATTAAAAACGGGTTTAGATCTAGTTTGAAGTAGGTTCGATTAATATTCTCGCAGTGTAATTGTTTGTATGTTAATTGTTCATTAAGAATTTAAATAAAATTAAGTATTTTTATATCGGACAATCGTCCAGTCGTCTGGCTGCCTTTATTTGCGTTTATTTTTAGATTGCCTGACAAACGCTGCTCTTACGGCCTGACTTCCAGATTAATTTGTATGGCAAGCAGCGCGTGTAAAAACTGACAAAAGTTTATGTTTTGACCTTAAAGTAATTGTTGAACTGCATGACGCTACGGACAGGCAGGCAGAGAGAGAGAGGGAGAGAGAGAGCGAGAGAAAAAGAGGAAGAATGGCGTAAGTCGTAAAGACAGAGCGAGGGGTATAGCTAGAGAAGAAATTGAAGATAAACAAAGAAAAAGAGCGACGCAAAGGAAGAGAAAAAAGCAGATCCAAAATTAGATAGGGGAGAAAGTAAAAGAGTGCGTCAGAGGTAGAGAAATACAGATAAAGAGGAGGAGAAAGAGAAAGAGCAAGCGAGCGATTTATAAAGATAGAGAGGAAGATGAGGCTGAGATTCGAATGAGAGAGAGAAAGAAACGGGCAGATAGAGAAAGAAGGAGAAGTGGAAGGAGTGAAATCAGAAGGAAGATAAACAAAGAGACAAAGAGATAGAGAGAGGGAGAAAGAGAGAGAGAAATAGAAAGAGCCAGAAGTAGATCCAAAGAGAAGGAGAAGAAAAAGGGATAGAGAAAGAAAGAGGCCCCTCGAGAGTATGAGAATAAGAGAGAGGAACTTATAGATAAAGAGAGAGGAATAAAAGAGATTTAGAATAAAAAGGTGTAGAGTTAAAGAAGTGGAAAGAAAGAAATCAAAAAGATCGAAAGAGAGAGAGAGAGAGAGAGAGAGAGAGCGAGAAACATATTCAAAAAGAGATAAAAAGAGAAAGTGAGATGAATAGAGAAAGAGAACAAGAGAGTGAGAGACAGACATATTCAAAAAGAGATAAAAAGAGAAAGTGAGATAAATAGCGAAAGAGAACGAGAGAGAGAGACGCAGAAACATATCTAAATAGAGAGAGAGAGGAACAGTGATAAATTCGAGTTACAAAACCAAAAAAAAAACGTTGTTTTTCTACCTCTCGCTCTCCCTCTCTCTCTCTCTAGACGGCGTAAGCGCAGTGACCTTTTGTTATCTTAACTCCCGAACTAATAGCTATTCAAATACGCTCGAGCCATACTCAATGCATTCATTGTAAAGCAGATATCTCATATCTCAGTCAATGCTAGTTTCAAATATGTTTCTGATAATTGGCCTTGGCAAACGATTGAATGTAGCCAAAAGTTCTTAAGATAAGACACAGATCGTATACTCTATATATTTATATATATACTTTATATATGTACATGTTTAATGTGCACAAATATAGATATGCATAAGGCAGACAATTAAGCAAACAGCGCCAAACTCAATGTGTGAGAATCTTGAATGGGTAATTAGCACATGGTAGGTCTATGTGTGCTTTTGTTAAGACGTCATAAATATAATCAAGAAAGAGCCGAACATCGCAGCTCCGCATCTGGGGCCATGTCCGCAGTCGAACAGCAAACTGGTATATAAGCTGATCAATCGCCGCTAGAAGTGCGCAGTTCGACAAGAACGTCTCTTAATCCTAAGCGGTTTCTATAGATAGGCCCAAGTACTCAACTCAACTCAACTCCCGTCACATACTACTGCTCGTCGATCCAGTTAAACACAGTTGGACACGGATTTGCGGCCAAAAGTCAAGATATCGTCAAGATCGCAATCGCTAACAGCTGAACTAAAGTGCGTGCAAAGAAAGAAAAAGAAAACAGTTAACAGCAATAAATCGAATTTTAACTACGTAATTTTAGTCCAATTATCAACGGCGTGAGATAAGGAAAAAACGTCGACGGATATCATAAAAGCTTATGCAATATGCATTCATCGTAAGTTGGAAAAACTTCTATAAATAGTAACATAACATCACACACATAACAGCACTTCCCGACATATATGTATATATATATATAAATATATATATATATATATATAGGCATTAATTATTTTATCGTTACGATAATTCAGATTCAATTCAGTTCTCAAATTGATAAGATTGAAAGATTAGATTAAAGTGAATTTAGAAAACGATCATTTATGATATATATATATATATATATATATGTATTTATATATATGCTTGATATTCGGAGTCTCACAACAGTCAAAAATTGAAATGAATTATGACCTGCTGTATAGTTACACAGATTAATCAGACTAATCAAGCCCGATGATAAACATACAGATTTAGATAATCAAAACTAAATGGAAGAGCACTCGTTGATTGTTTTATCTAGCCATGGGTGAGCCTCTCAGGCATACATACGCATATCGGCACGTAGGGGTTGTCATGAACAGATGCAAATACAAGCATAGTGTGTGTGTAAGTGTGTGTGTGTGTGTGTGTGTGTGCACATCCAACATCAGCCGATAGCAATGACGTTGCATATCGCAAAAAGCTGACGCTCTGCTGTTATCTATGCCAGCATCGGGTCTAGAGATGAGCGCGTGCCGTGACAACAGCTAATGCAAGTTGTTGTTTAGCAGAAGTTCATGTATAAATAATTAATTATTTTACGCCGAAGGCAGCCGCAAAACAAATGAATCTAGTATTAGAAAGCTATGCGTGTGAGTCATTGGGCATCTTGGCAGCGTCATGCCCAAATGTATGCTAAATTAATCAAGTTCTAGATTCAGCGTTAAATAATTCAAAATACACGCTTTGAGCGCGCTCTTATCAACAACAACAGCACAGTGTTTTGATCGTAAATCAAAATGCGTACAGAATATCGTAAATGCTAAATGATCGTATATCGTATCGTATATGTCACGTGCACACCTCTAGATGGCAGCGGGACTTTTGCCGTTGCTCGATCATGCAGCAGCTAAGTAAAAAAAGAAAAAAGAAGAACTAGCGAGCAGCGCCGCATGGCCGACAGCGTGTAGAAAGCAGCGCAGCAGCAGCGCCGGCGGCAGCGACATTGACGTTGGGTTGTGGGCGCACTGCGACCTCTGTCGACGCGTCGCTGCTGCCGCTGCTGCTGCGACGTTGACGAAATCTACAGCGCTTGCGCTTTGTTTTTGGAATTTGTTTTTTTTTTATTATTATTATTGAATGTTGTTGCTGCTGCTGCTGCTGCTACTGCCCGCTCAGCTTGTTGTAAGTAGTAGCAGTAACAACAATGTTGTGCGCGTTTGGATTTTAGTTTGTCGTTATAAATTGAGTTGGAATAACGCATTCCAGCTTAGTCGTGTTCCAGTAACGTTTACGCGCGCAGCAAATTTTCACTAGAGCAAAGCATTCCATACAACATCCTTGCACCGACAACTAAAGCACAAGCAAAAGACCAACAAACAGGTGCGCACATAATCCAGCGAGTGTCAGTTGAAAGATCGTGCAGCAAGGCTAATTTTTTTCCATAATTTCCATTTTCATTTTCACTTTCATTGAACACAAATCGAAATCCTGCACCCACATTAACACCCATAGTATGTCTGGTAGAATTCTGGAAGACTCGCCCAATGCGCGCATCAACAAGACCATCTTGGACCGCTATCTGGCCCTGCCGCTAGAGGATAACATTGTGCAGGCCACCTACGTGTGGATCGATGGCACCGGCGAGGATCTGCGCTGCAAGGATCGCACACTCGACTTCATACCGTCGAGCCCAAAGGGTAAGTGGACCCAGGCGCTGCTGGCTTGGCCCTGCTCCCAGCCCAATCTAATCAGCTGGCTAAGCATAGTTTCCCACAGCCACAAAGTGGCATCTTGAGTGGCCGTCAGCCAGACAGCTCGTTATATCAGTTGCACTGCTGCCCTTTAGGGAATGCCACGCCGAGATTAACTTGATTCCCAGTAGCAATCAAAGCAGTGCGAATCACATTCATAATTCAAGCTATATATATTTATATTTATATGTATACATATATATATATCGGTGCCGTTCCATGGAATCCGAGTTTATGTTCTTTGGCAACTTTTGCCTTGACATTGTCCAGACGACGTCAGACGTCAGACGTCGGACGTTAGACGTGCGCACGACGCGCTGCCAAATGTTTATAGACATTGAATTAAAAAATATATATAATTATTTTTTAGTACAGACATTTTGATAGTGCGATTCCGTTCATAAAGGCGTACAACTTAAAAGGGGTTTCACGCTGATAATTGATTACGTTTTAATGTGTTTGCCGAGCAGTCACTGCTTTATGGACATATAAACTAAATGTCGGCAATTAGACACGGCGCGTGTTCGGCCCAACATCGGTACGCGCTCAAGAGAAGAAGTCAAACCGATTCACTTTTCACATGCATATTCGCTGGCTAACGCGACGTATGCGTAATATTTCGCATTTAAGCAGTGAGAACAGTTTAGACAGTCGAACAAAGACACAAAAACAAGTGCAAATCATTTTAGCTCGGAAGTGAAGCGATCATGATGATGATGATGATGATGATGATGATGATGATGTTAATAACAAGCATCTGAGAGCAAATGCATTTATTTAGCTCTTTTTATGTTTTGTTTATTCAGTTTTTGTTCTGCTGCTGCTGCGTCTTCTTCTTCTTCTTCTTCTTCTTCTTCTTCTTCTTTCTCTGTGTGTTTTGCACTCGTCAGCAGCAGTGCACAATTACTAATTAGGAATCTCAGCTGATAACTGTGCATATGCAGTCCGCACACCAGCAAACAGATATATATATGTATATATAATTTCAAAATACAGCTAGATTTCAGATGCAGACAGATAGGTGTGAAGTATGCCAACACGTCTACACACAAAATTTGCACAGCAAAAACCCAGGCGACACCTGGCCGCTGGGGCGTATGCTTAATATTATTGCCACAACACACGCCGACGGCGCGTGCCCAAGTAGCTAGCAAAAGACCAGGCACACTTTCTCTCTCTCTCTCTCTCTCTCTCTCTCTCTCTCTGTGCGTGTGCTTAATATATATACTAAACTCTCTCTATCTCTCTCACTAAATATATATACTAAATTGATTTGGCTGGGGATTTACGAGCAACAAGCAATTACCATGTCAATTGAAATGCGCGAATTGATTATAGTTTAGCATTAGCTAAACAAGGGTCGCATTTTGCATGACCAATTTGTGGGCAGGCAAATTGGCCTAAAGTGCATGGCAAATAACGAGCCGCAATTTGGCTTATCCCTGGCTCCACTTCACATTCGCTGGGCCCAAGGCAATCAGCTGTTTATCTAGTCTATGGCGTCCATGTCACTAGCAATCGGATATCAGCGGGCTGGGTGGCCTGAGCCTGAGTGGGGTGCGTGGGTGGTCAACAACGAGCGTTAGGCACGAGATTGTAAATGAAAACGTCGGCCCAAGGTAACAGCTGACGCTCTACCCGCTGCTAGCACAGTAACTTCTAATTATAGAAATTTTCTATTGACAACTTGAATAACATTTTCCTACATATCTCCCCCGCACACAACCCCTCCCCTCCCTCTCTGGCTATGTATATATTTATTTCTTTTTGCATTTTTTTAAAATTAATTGTTGCTAAAGAAAGGAGAAAAACTTTTGACATTCAAATTATTTCAAGCAATTAAAAACATGAAGCTTGAAATGCTGCTAAAAGGCAGCTAGAGATGAGCGCGTGACACGTCAATGATAATATTGATTTAAATAAATTAATTAATAATTAAAAAATAAATATATATATATATATATATATATATATATATATATTTATTTTTTAATTATTAATTAATTTATATATGTATATATATATATATATATATATATATATATATATATATATAGATTGTTCAATTGCGCTACTAGCTACAGTTTAGGAGTCACAAAAACTGAAAAGTTTCGAAAGCTGCGCAGCTTTAGCTGTTGAACAGAATCATAGATATATATAGAGTGTGAACACCGTCATATATAGCCGACTTTTTAGGTGTCGTGTCACGCCGTGACACGCATCCAGCTCAAGTTACATTGCAAATGCAATGCAAGCTGTACAACCAGCACTCGTTTAACAGGTTCACAATAGACAGCGATGATGAACAGGGTTGGGTATGTCAGCTGCTGTTGTTGTTGTTGTTGTTGTTGTTGTTGGTTGGTTGGGCGAGTGGGAGTGGGAGTGGTAGGGTAGGGGAGGATTGAATGTACAAGTGCGCAATAGCTAATTTGTAATATTCACGCTTGGCTATTAAATATTCAACTGCATTCTATTATAGGATATACGATATATGCCAGTGCAATATTACATAGAATAATGCCTATGTATAGCAGTAGCTGACAGATGTGTGTGGCTTTGCGGTCTTGGCGAGACAGGAAATGCCACTGTTTCTCTTTTTTTTTTTTTATTATTTTGTTGCTTGTTGCTTTTGGCAAACGGAAGCCAATTAACGCTTAATTATGGGCATATCGCATTGCGTGCCCCAATGGAGGGGCGAGGCCGGTGGTTGAGCGCACAGTTGCTTCATCTCGACTCTCGACTTGCTACTTTCAGAGCTTCCCGTTTGGAACTACGATGGCAGCTCGTGCTATCAGGCGGAGGGCAGCAACTCGGACACCTATCTGTATCCGGTGGCCATCTACAAGGACCCGTTCAGACGCGGCAACAACATCCTGGTCATGTGTGACACCTACAAGTTCGACGGCACCCCGACTGCCACGAACAAACGCAAGTCCTGCCTCGAGATCGTTAACAAGTGCCTGGACGAGCAGCCCTGGTTTGGCATCGAGCAGGAGTACACGTTCCTCGACTTCGACGGCTATCCGCTCGGCTGGCCCAAGAACGGTTTCCCCGGACCTCAGGGTCCCTACTACTGCGGCGTGGGCGCCAACAAGGTGAGTACCGCCTCGCGCCCATAGCAGCCGAGTGGACCAAGCTAAGTTTCTACATTGGACAGGTCTATGCTCGCGACATTGTGGATGCCCATTATCGCGCCTGTCTGTATGCTGGCGTCAAGGTGTCCGGCACCAATGCGGAGGTGATGCCCGCCCAATGGGAGTTCCAGGTGGGCCCCTGCCTAGGCATTTCGATTGGTGACGATCTGTGGATGTCGCGTTTCCTCTTGCATCGCATCGCCGAGGAGTTTGGCGTGAGTTGCCCAACAAATTTGAGCTTGTTCAGTTCTGTAGCCACGGCTTGTTGCTTTAGATTGTCGCCACTCTGGATCCCAAGCCCATGCCGGGTGACTGGAATGGCGCCGGCGCACATACCAACGTGTCCACCAAGGCGATGCGCGAAGATGGTGGCATTCGGGAAATCGAGAAGGCCGTGGCCAAGCTATCCACGTGCCATGAGCGTCACATTCGCGCCTACGATCCCAAGCAGGGCCAGGACAACGCACGTCGCCTGACGGGCAAGCACGAGACGAGTTCGATCAACGATTTCAGTGCCGGCGTGGCCAATCGCGGCTGCAGCATACGCATTCCGCGCGGCGTCAACGATGACGGCAAGGGCTACTTCGAGGATCGTCGCCCCAGCTCCAACTGCGATCCCTACTCCGTCGTGGAGGCCATATTGCGCACCATCTGCCTAGACGAGTAGAGCACCTGCCGCACCCAAACACGCCCTGTCGACCTGGACCCGGACCCGCCCACAAGCCGCGGCGGAGTAACCATAGACGTAGCCATACACAATCAAAACTATATACTATATAATATGTATAACCAACGTAGAGCTTTTGCTTGCTTCCTTTTTTTTTGTCGACTTCTAAATGAACTACCCCCTAAGCAGCTGTTAAAGATAATTATTTTTTTTTTTTTGCTTTTTTTTGTAATTGTTGAGCTTTGTTGTTAGGTTATAGACATTAACGGAACACGTTGAAGAAGTAGGTTTAGAGCTGTGCGTCGATCGATCAACTGTTGCCTGTTCAAGGACCCGCAACACATTACCAACTATATCCAAAAAAATACACACCCACCAAGCCCCAGACCGGAGGACAACAACGTACCGTAGCAGAAGAAGAAGAAGAAGAAGATGAAGCAGAAGAAGAAGAAAAGAAGTCAACGGGCAAATAAACCTAACTATTAATGATATTATTTTAACATAAAGTACCAATGCATACATGCACACATACAAACACGCAATACATACACAAATACACAAATACACACATACACACATACTCACATACGCACATACATAACATACATACATATACTCCTTAGTTAAGTACAATGCACGAAAAAAATTTAAAAAATTTGCGTTTTTATTGAAGGCGTTTCGCGTGGCTGTTTTTGTTGCAGAAATATTGAAGGCATCGACAACAAAAGCTGGAAAATTGAAATGTGGAAAATCACTTAAGTCAGCTTCGACTGAGTTTTTCATAAGCAAAGCTAAGAACTAGTTAGATATACTACATACAGTAAACGACTCTTGGCTTTTGACTGCTCTACGGCAAGCAACATTTTGATCGGGAAAGCCCGACTAGACGATATATGTTATATAGATATACGTTTTTTGATATAAATCTGAGTATTCAAAGAAAACTCAGCAGTTTTTGTGGCATTAAAACAACGCTAAAAAGCAAAGTCAGCTAATCGATTTTTATCGATCATAGGACAATGTAATGTGTAGGCGATACGGATAGCTTAAACTCAAATGAACAGACAGACATGGCCCGCCTGATCAAGAATATATATGCTTTATGGGCTTTGTCAGGCCTCATTCATAATACTCCAAATGTCCACTTGTAAGACAGAATCTGCACTGGACTATAAGCTATGGGAATCCCTAGACCCAATAATAATAACAGCAGCCAGAGTTGAATTTGATTTCTCTACCATTTTATTTACTCGTATTTGTATATTCATGTGATTTATACTAAAATGTATACGAATCGTCTGTTCTTTGAGTTAATATATAAATACATATATATATATATATATATATATATATATATATATATATATATATATATATGTATATATATATATATATATATATATATGTATATATATGTAGTGTTATGTTTTGTAAATTGTGTATTACGAAGTGTTTGCATTTGTTGTTTTAACAACGGTCCACAATATGTTTGATTAGTTATATAGAATTTAGCATATAGTATATATATATATATATATATATATATATATATATATATATATATATATATATATACCACGGCATCTATGCGCTTAATATGTTTGTTTGTAGTTATGTATAAACGAGTACTAAATGTCTTCAACTTTATTCGGTATTTTGTATGTTTTTTTCTCTTTTGTTTTTTATATAAATTTTGGAACAATTACAACACAATATTTCAATAGTATTCAACTACAAATGTAATTATCATTTATGTTTACTTAAACGAACATTTTCAGTAATTCAAAATTTCACTTCTTAAACATAGCTATTTATTTTCCTCAGTGTATTGTGTCTGTGTGTGCTGCGAACATGTGTTTCAAGTAACAATAAACAAAACAAAAAATAAAATAGAATAAATTATCAAAATAAAATAAACAGGAAAACTGATGTCCATCTGAACACTGTCAATTGTATAAATGGAAGCTGATGTATTCATATAGTTAATATTGTTTTGTTTATTATTTATATATATATATATAAATTATATAAGCCATATGTACATATATATATATATAAATATTCACGATCACTGCGCCTGCAAATTCAGCAAAATGCAATTTGCTTTTGATTAGCTCATTTCAATGAAAATGCACTGATAAAAAAAACAAGTGAGAACTTCAGCCAAGAGTCCGCTGACTGTTGCTTGACTACAGGACTGTTAAATTTAACAGCAATTGCCACTGTTAAGTTCGATTTGAACATGTGCATGTTAAAGTTAACACTGACTGTTCTTACAACATGATCGTTCGATTGCGCCTGTCAAACATTTGACAGGCAGTTTTAACTATTAAACATAAGCAATTCAGTGCACAAAATATGAATTCATTAGAATTGGTCGCTTATGGCAGTTTATTCGATACATTTATATATATATATATATATATATATACATATGGTGTCTATATATGTTTTAGAGATATGTTTGTCCTTTATTTATGTACTTTATTTAATTTTATTTTGCGTTTCTATGTGAGCTTAGTTTGATGTTAAATTCTTTGTGTCAAATACAATTTGAGTTGAAGTAAAAGTAAAAGTAAAAGCAAAAGCCAAACTTAGTGATAAAAGATATATTACGTAAACTAGCAGATCATACACATATCAGTTGAATGTAGAATAGTAATTGTGCGCTATTTACTTTAAACACAATTAACTAATATGTTTTGTGTTTCCGTTTCTGTCGAGATTTAGTTAATTAACAAAACATTCACTAAAATGTTGTCCACCTCGGTTATAGAACTCAAATGATAGAGAGATAGTTATGAGAGAAAGAGAGCACTTCTTGAAACTTGAATTGAGAATATTTAATACTGAAAGAGGAACTTCATATGATCTATTGGAATCGAAGAACTTTAAGACTCTTCTGCTTGGATTTAGGAAATGTAATATTTTGGCACCTTCAATCGTAAACAAATCTTGTGACATTAACTAGTTGTAGTACCTATGGTTTGATTTGAAAGGATCTTGAGTTCAACCGAGAGTAAAATGCAGTTGGCACAACATCTTAATAAACGTATGCATATATCTTGATGTATGTATACTGATAGAATATTGTATATTGTGACACACAGTTTATCGTTAACTAGAACTACATAAGAAATTGTTTATTTATATGGTCTTGTCATGAAGTGCAATACGGAAGCGCGTCTGCTGCATAAGAATACCATTCGGTAAATTACATAAAATATATGACTTTAGTGTACAATGTTTAACAAAAATGAAAAAAAAAAAATACATATATATAAAACACACATATTAAAAAAAAATTATTAAAAAACAATGCTTAGAAATTAGCAAAAAATATATATGTATATATATATTCATTCATATATATATGTGTGTGTAAAATTGAATTAATTATTGCACTTGGAAAACAGCTCAAACTTAAATACACATATTCGTATAATAATCGTTTTTTTTTTGCATTTCTCTTATGGTTTTTTTCTTTTAGTTTAAGTTTTACATGCTGCTAAGAATCGCTGGATCGCAGATCCATTTTAGTTGCAGCTGTTCGTAAGTAATTGATGCGCTTTATACATATATCAATATCAATATATATTCTTTGCATAGAAATATCTATTATTTATGCGTGTGTGTGTGTGTGTGTGTGTGTGTGTGTGTATTTGTGTATTTATGCATTTGTTTGCATATCGACTACATCGTTAAATGGGATTAACCGAATATCGTATTTGGAATATCGTAAGTTATGGGAGGCCTGCAATTCATTGCATATCTCGAGGTTCTGGTTCGCACTATTTGAAATAGTTAAGGGTTTCTTGTTATTGTTGTTGTTGTTTGAAATAACATTTTGGCAACGCTTGTTACATGTTTGAACATTATTAAAAACTTTCTTGGGATGATTTTCGCACTTCGTTATCGTAAAAGTTGATCTATAAATTGTTTAGGTATGCTCGCTATATGATCTCAATAGAATACATTGGGTATTGCTATTGTTTTCTTTATGCTTGTTGTTTTTTTGTGTGCAAATATATGATAATATTATTATTAAAATAAGTGTTATGTCAAACTTAGTTGGCTACACGATGAGGAGTTACAAATTCGTTTTAGACATATGTGTGTGTGTCAGTGTGTGTGTGTGTTTACAAAATATCAGCAATATCCATTCTACACGTATATAGGTTTTAAGAGGTAAACAATATAAAATACAAATAAAAAACTATTTCGTTCTAAACTTGGTTAAAACTCACATAATTTTTTCCTTTTCTTTTTTTTTTTTTGATTTTTCTTTTCAGTTTTTTTCCTTCTCAATTTAAAACTTACATTAAAAGTGTTGGGTACATAAAATCCATCATTTGCTTTATAATAATATCTGCATATATATATTAATATGTATATATGTATATATATAGGAGTGACAAAAAAAAACTATACATATCAATAAATAAATATTTTTTCGTTTTTAACATAACAGCAAATTTCCTTATATAAATACATACAATAAAATTGGAAAAAATCATAAGTATAGTAATAATTGTTTAAAACATATTTTATAAATAGTAATCGTGTTTTTTTTTGTTTTCATTGAATTTCAACTAATTATATTTTATTGACCATCGACGGAGCACAGCCGACTTTGTGACAGAACATACATAGTTAGTTATGTATACCATATGCAGCTGGATGCACATAGCTCAGACATTAATATGTATATATATATGTATACATATATATATAGTGATTTATATAGTGATCATTCATATATGTATATATATGTGTATGTGTATGCATATATGTATATATCATTGTTAGCCGCACTGAGTGACGCCCGCGACTCTGTATATTATGTGGATAGCTCCGTGCTCCCGCGACGCACCATGTTGAGGTCACTGAAGTCGATCTCTGTCGATTCGATGGATTGTATGGAGGCGCTGCGTAGCTTGTTGGCTGGAAACTTGCCGCGACTTTTCAGTGCCGTCAACTGCAGCAGGAAATTATGTTGGCCAAGTTAGTTGGGGCATTTATGAATATTGTTCGTGTTGTGCGTGCATTACGTATACGTATTATAGTAGTAGTAGTTGTTGTACTGTGTGTGTGTGTGTGTGTATGCGTGTGCTTGTGCTTAAACATTAACTAAGCTCTACCAGATACCAACTACAGATATTTACACAAAAAAAACTATATACATTAGATGAAAGCAGACACAAATTCACAAACTGAATTTGAATGAAATTTAAAGTAAACCAAAAACACTGAAAATATATTTAAGAATCATTTAATTTTCATATATACAAATTTTAAATGATCTTTTGGTTTGAGTCTTGGCTAAGCATAGAGCTTTGCAGCTTTACGATATTGGCAAAAAAAATACCAAGCAGTACTATACGGTATATTTGAATTGATAGCAATGTGTTACAGTGAAACGTGGCTAAGATATCTACGGCACGCAGAGTAGGTTTATGTATGTTACAAATGATAATGGATATACATATATATTTACATATATTATAATGCAATATGAATACACTTATTAAGCAATCTGTAAATAAAATTATTTTAATTGATTTGATGCGAGCTCACAGATCATATTTCGTGCAGTAAAAACTAATTATAAATAATAATATATAAAATTTAAATATATATATAGCAAAAATTTAT